TTGGCTTCATTCCTGTCTTGTTAGGGCCATATCCCTGTGGTTTCCTAAGTAACAGGATGTGGGAAATGCTTTTGTGAGGACTGTTCTAAGACTGGGACAACTGCTACTCAAAAGAAAAATGTCTGCTCTAAACCAGCTCCAAACCCAGTATTTGGCCCTTGTTTACGCTTGTGGCAACCTGCTGTGTCTTCTTTGATCTCCTGGAAGCCTGCTCCGTGCTCTGGTTTTTTACCCTGTCCTTGACTTGCGTGTGTTTTCATCTCTGAGCTGGGAACCCTGTGGGGTCTTTCAGTCTGAATGCGCATCTTCTACTTATGGACTCCTAGATATGTTTTTGGATTGTTTCTGCACTCTATTTACACGTCATCTGAATGATCTGCCCTGATTTCTCCAGGGCTGGCCTCTCTAATTACTCCCTAACTCACCTAGTCTCCCTCGCCCTGCTCAGGGTCCATTTTATATATCAGCCTTTTGTACCCGTATCCTCATCTACAAAGTGAGTCGTGTGCTTTAAATCCCCTAAACTCTTTGTGGATAGTGTTCATCTTTAAAGCATCTTGTTTCCTTGAGAAACCTCTCCAGTAGTTTTGCTTATTTTCAGACAACCTTGATGATATCCCCACCCCAACCTCCAAGTTGATTTATGCTAAATGTTAAGATAACTTGGCTTTAGTCGGGTGGGTAGTAGCACACGCCTTTAATCCTAGCACTTAGGCAGAGGCAGGAGAATATCTATGAGTTCAAGGCCAGCCTGATCTACACAGCAAGTTCCAGGACAGCCAAAGCTATTATACATAGAAACCCTTGAAAAGCCAAAAAAAAAAAAAAAAAAAAAAGCAAAACAAAACAAACAAACAAAAAAGACATTTGATCTTGTGTTAGAATCTTTGAACAGAATTTTGCCAGAAAGCTCCTGCTTGAGGCCCCATCTCTTCATGGACAGCATCTTTCCTGTCACCCTCTAAATATTTGGTCCAGCTTTCTTTTCACACCTTCAAAGGCTTAAAGCATCGCATACCAACAGTTTACAATACTTTTCCAGCACCAAAAACCATTTACCATCTACTGGGATTGGGAAGCTGGGGTCATAATCCCAGTTCTAGTCAGCATAGTTGATCTCAGGCAAAAATCTTGGCTGCCTGTTGAAGGGCAGAAAGGAAAGTGACACTTGAAGCGTACACACAGGGCCTCTGGAAGCAGGCGGGATAGTAGAGAGATCAGGCCAGGAGTGGCAGATGTCTCCATACTGGCATCGTCAGTCTTTTTTCAAGGGGTCAGATGTCCCAGATTATAGTTCCCTAATTTCCTACCCCCAGGTGTGGAGTAGGAGGCTTGGCTCTCTTTCTTCTGAGTATATAGTAAGAAACGGACATGAGCACTCACCCTTGTTCTCAGTTCTCCATAGTGTACATGAACACTCTCATTTATTCTCTGTTCTCCTTGTTGGATCTCTGAGCTCAGCTGCACCGAGCACTCCCTAATTAAGAAAATCCTTTATTTTCTATGCCTGGAGAAGGCGCTAACTGAATGGGGGAAGGCACTCCTTTCAGAAGGGCTCTATGGGTTTTAAGAACTTATTACATGCAACCTATTTCACTGGTGCTAGTGTCCCCTCATCCCCGCTAAGCGCACATTATGATGCGCTCTTGAGACAGAACTGCTCATTCAGTCACATCTGATCTCTACCATCCAAGTAGTTTCTTTGACCAACACAGACTTAGACTTCCAGTCAGTCTCTTCATGAAAGTGCTAGTTCCACGTAGGAGGCATGTAGTTCCTTGAAGGAATGTTAAATATACAATGTCCCTTCAAAGAGAGGTACATATAACCTGTTTTCCACCCAGAAGGCTTGGAACAGATGCGGTTAATGGCCTGGCGACCTCTGTATTATCTATGTGGTCAGGCTACACTGGCTCCTCCAGACCCTCATCTTGATCTCGTTAGCCTCAATCTATAGCACTACCCTCCCCCAGACCTTTAGCATGAGCCTGCTGCCTATCTTGACCCAGTTTCCTCAGTTAATCCATAGAACCTATCTTTAAGGAAAATGTCACTTGTATTTCACAAGAGTTTTGGTGTAGTCATTTCTTAAGCATTGTTGTGCACATGGAATTGAATTAATTATTACCAGGAAATGTTTTTTCCAAATTGTGTTGCACTTAAATATGCCTAAAATAAACTACTAGAACTTCAGACTCTCAATGTTTGAACCAGCACCTGCTACTGGATTGTGTTAAATGGAACTGCCTTATCTCTCCCAGATGGACATTCCGCAGGCCTTGGTGGTCACAGAGATGCCCACAGTTCCTGGAGGTCCCAAGAGGAAAACAAATTACGTGTCTGGTAGATGTACTTTTTGTTTTTAACTTCCATAAATTATGTCAAGTCTACCTGAAACCACTACTCTGAGCTAATTTGTCTTGGTGACTTTAAGCAAACTGTTTACATAGGGATAAGGGGGGGCAGAGGGGCAAAGGAAAACATCACCTGGAATGAAATCACCAGAATATTGTGAAAAAGACAGTGATATGTTCTAGTATAAAAGGCTGGGCTCTGTTATAATCTCAGGTCTATTGCTCTCATAGAAAGATACTGTTTCACTATCATTAATCACAGAATTGTTTTCTGTCAAGGCTAATGTACTAGATGAGACCGCTTTCCTCTTTGACCTTAGAAGGAGCTTTTAGGTTAGAGATACAGTGCAGATTTATGCTTCTCCATGACAGGAAATCATCAGTTCACTTAATGAAATGTAGTAAGAGGCTTTGCCCACTTGTATTCTAACCAGAGCTGTTCTGTTACAGCTGCACATGAGTGTGTATGTGCGAATACATATGAATTTTTAATATGAGGATCTTACATCTCCTTTGAGACATCTGGACTGTGTTAATACCCAGATAGCATCCCACATCCTTCAGAAGACAGGAAATTAATATTCCTGAGATGAGAGATCAGATGCTGCTGGAGAGGGTGAGGCATCTATGTCTTAAAGAGGAGTGACTTTCTACAATGCCATCTGTCACCCTCAAAGCAAGGCACAAAGCACCACATACCTGTACTTTACAGCTCCCAACTCATCAGGATTTACCACCAACTGGGATCTGGGAAACCACCACGCTATAATCCCAGTGTCTAAGCAGTCTAGATGATGACAGGCAGGATATTCAGTCAGTCTCTCTTCCATATAACAATAATCCCTACAGTCTAAGAAAGAAAATTGCAAACATTTGTGTGCACCTGTACAGGCTCGCATACACAGACACGCTTATGTGTCAAACTGTACACGTGGCTGTCAACTTCCTATTGGTGACAATAATAAAAAGTAAACAAATAAAATATTCTCCTTTAAACAATGTAATACATTTTAATATTTGGTTGTTCAAGACAGTTTCTCTATGTAAAAAGAGGGTATTCTTAGTTTTAAATTTTTGGTGGCTTTGAACTCTGACCTCATGCCCCAGGAGGGGTGCTGGGATCATAGGCTTGTGCCACTTACCATTCAAGTTGTTTTCTTTTCCTTTCTGTAACTCACTATGTAGACCAAGTTGTCCTCAAACTCACAGTTTGCCTGCCTCTCTTTCTCAGGTGCTGGGATTAAAGACTTGTGCTACCACACTCGGCTAATGCAAATATTTTTAGGCTGGGTGCTAGAATTTACTTTAACTACCCATCAAGTGCTTGGAAAAGCATCAATTTTAAGACATATAGTAATAAAAATTATCTAATGTAAATGTATACTTTAAATCTCAAACTGTCAAAGCACACGCCCCTCTAAAGCAGTTTTTAAAAAAGAAATCTTTAGACTGAAAGCTTTAATGGAGGGACCTGTTAGTTGGGTGTACGGGGAATAGAATTTCATTGTTTTTAATATCACATATTATATCCTATTGGAAAATTGCATTTCTGTAAAATATTTTATTTACATATTGTTTATTTCTTAGTAAGCACCATTATAATGCAACCGGAGTTTTAAAAACATTACAGGAGTGTATAGGCAATTAAAATAACTAACACTGAAAAAGTGACTTCCATAACTGATTCCCAATTATCATAAGGTATCTCATGAGTAGGATTTATTTGTATTGTTTGCTTTCCTCTACTGTGCCTTGCTTCAAATCCCAGCTTTGACCATGACTGCTCAGTGGACACTAGGCGAGACATTTAATCAAGGGTCTCTGGCCTCACTTCACAACGTTCATGTGGATAAAATGTAAAGATAAACCCTAAAGAAGAAAATATGAAATTAATATACCAAGTATTTCCGTTGCCACTAGTTACTCCAATTACTGCAGTTTCTGCATGGAGAAGGGGCCTGGGGTCCTACTCTTTGCTCTATCTACCAATTTCATAGGACCAAAGAGAATGAAGTCTGCGGTAAGCACTCACACTTGATCCACTGCAAACAACTCCCTTATTCATCTTTCTTAGGCCTTGTTCTCGTGCAGACCGGATATTTCTCATAATCCTACTTGTCTACGTTTGTGCTCACTATCAAGCCTTCCTTTCTTCTTGTGGAGCGATAATAAGGGAACTAACCCATCTGAAGGTGAGGATGGGTGAAATGGCTGGAACCATGGCTTTCTAAGCCTACAGGTGGGACTCATACTCATACACACAAAGGCAGCAGCGGTTCTCAGAGCACAGAGCATAACACTCTTCTCAAGGTGTCATTCCTCAAAAGCCTACTCGTTACAAAAGCTGCAAACGTTCGACCCGTACGGGGGGGGGGGGGGGTAGGGGAGGGGAAGAATCCCCAGTCACAAGTCTCTGCAGTGTTACTCCTGTAGCAGGCACAGGGAACGGATTGGGGATGGCGACAGCCGCACAGGCGCAGAGCGCTTCTCTGGGCAGAGAAGGCTGCCAGGGCCTTGGCTCTGCTCAGAACCGGCTTTCCCGCAGCCAAGGGTGGGTGAGACACCCCGCTCCCGCACTGCACCCCAGCAATGCCAAGGTGGCCACTGAGGTCTGCAACCACGCCGCTGGGGGGGGGGGGGCATTACCATCCTGCAGAATAAGGGTCGGCTGCACCGGCTGCACTCGGAACTGCCTGGCCCTCCAGCCGGGGCTGGGGGCCCGCACCACCTCGCTGTCAGAGAGCCAGGTCACCGTCTCAAAGTTGTCCCCTCGGGCCAGGGCCTCGGCCTCGGCGCGGTGCACGGCCACCTGGTCGAACTGGTAGAGGCCGCCCGAGTGATCGAAGTGCACGTGAGTGGCCACCGCCAGCAGCGGCCGGCGCCCCGCATCCTCCTGGGCCCCGCCGTCCCGCAGCAGGCCGGAGGAGTAGAGGTACTCGGGAAGGCTGCGCAGCCCCAGGCCCGTGTCGATCACCACGTCCTGCTCCGAGCCGCGCACCAGCCAGATGTTGGCGCGGTTGCCCGACTCGTAGAAGCGCTCTTGGATCCAGAAGATGCCGTCGCCCAGGGACTTGTGGGCGTACCACTCGAGCGCGGACATGCTGGGGCGCAGGGGTGCGGCCGGGAGAGGCGGGTGTGGCCTCCCGCGGCCAGTCCCGACCCCGGCGCGGCCGCCGCAGCGCGCGAAGGAGGGGCGGGGACGCGGGAGGGAGTGCGGATCTCCGGATCGCCCGCACCCCGGGTCCGCAGAGCGCCAAGGATGCGGCTTCTGCAGCCGCCGCAGCGGGGCGGAGAGATGGGGCGACGCTGCAGAGGCTGGGGGTGAGGCGTGGGGAGCGCCAGGACCGCCCCCCACAAACACACACGGATAACCGGCGCAGCTCCCTCGCCGCCGCAGCCCAGAGCGAGGCCCAGCCAGTGGGAGCCAGACTACGGCGCCTGCCAAGGGCTAAAAAGCTCGGCGCCGGGGGCGTGGCCTCGCCGGCAGTGGGCGGGGCTCCTAGTGGGCAAGCCGAGCGCGGCAGCCAGCGTGCAGGACCGCGATTGCGGCCCCGGGGGAGGTGGACGTGGAGTCCGCGGCTCCTGGCTGGTGCGGCTGCAGGGAACCCCTTGCCACCTCGGCTGCACAGCGCGCCCAAGCCTCGAGACGTTGCGAGCAGGTAACAGGAAGCTGTCCCGGATTGGGCTGGAGTTGCAGAGAGTAGAAGGGAGTTACTGATGGGGCACGTGGAGAACGTGGTGCACCGGCATCCGGAGCCAAAATTCATCAAACCTTTGGAGTGACTTGGGGGGGGGCAGCCTTACCTCTTCCAAGCCTAATGCTGCCTTGCAAACCCTTTAACGTCCTGGTAGTTAGATCTTCCAGGCTTCTCCTTGGGGTGTTCTTGGTGAGACCGAAGGGAGTTTATGCTCTTGCTTATTCTTCGGAAGACTTAGCCAATCCGGAGACCCTACGGTTTGCTCACGCTCTGGTTTGACTACAGATTGCTGCTAAGGGCATACTATTCCGCTTCTGGTTTCTTGACTGTTGGGGAGAGGAGTTGCTAATAGGATTTTTCTTTAAACAGTTCTGAATTCCCGTCATGTTTTGTGCGGTTCTCTGCTGGTTGAAGAGAGCAGAGAAAGTTGCCAGAGCTTAACTAATGAAGGGCGGGGCACTTTGAGGGGACAGGAAAAGTGGATAATGACTGGGTGTGGCCTTCCCAGCCACGGAAATCACCCCCACTGTTGTTAACATCAAATCCCTGTGCTCTCACCCTAAACCCTAGCTATTGCTGTATCTATTTAGGATTCAGAAATCCCCTTGAGAAGTTGACTAACCTTCAAAAATTAGAGACCCACGGGATAGCATTATAAAGGCTAATTAGGAAAATGCTTACTGCAGCGTCTCCTAATAGACTTTCCTGGAGGGAGAGAAGTATTCTTCCTATACCCCTAAAGTCTCTGGTAGGAGTGCCAGCAGATTGCTGCCCCTGTGGAGTATTTTGCTAATCTCATCTATATAGAAATTATTCAATTCTGCAATTGGGATCATTCGTAGCATTAAATGATGTGTGATGAGCAGAAGACTATTTTTTTAAAGTCTGATTTGAGTTCTCAAGAATCTGAGGAAGCTACGCCGGGTGTTGGTGGCACACGCCTTTAATCCCAGCACCCGGGAGGCAGAGGCAGCGGATCTCTGAGTTCGAGGCTGGGCTGGTCTACAGAGTGGGTACCATGATGATAGACTCAGAAAGCTACACAGAGAAACTCTGTCTCGGAAAAAAAATTAAAAAAAAATCTGAGGAAACTAACACCTGTACACAAATGCATGTAATATAAAACAACATGAACCAAAAAAAAAAAAATCGGATGCTGTGTGGGTAAAAAAGGAGAGACTGCTGAGGGATTGCATTGGCCTTAAGAAGGCATTCTCAGCATAATCTCATCTGTACTTGATCTTTTCCCTGCAGAAGGGAGCCACCAGGTAAAATGACTCAGTATCATTTCTTGGCCATAACTTGCCATAATTATTTGACTTGACAGGCTACAGTTCACAACAGTTCTCTTTTTCTGCTTTTCAGCGTGACTCTGCTTCTCGTCTTTGTTACATTTATGCCCAGGTGTTGCTGAGTGAGGCAGGACTTCTTCACCTGGTCTTTCTGGCTTGTTCCCTGCTTTTAGTCCACACCACCTATCAGTCTCTGCCGTGTCTCTAAAGCAGACCTTGCCTGTTTCCCATACTGGACTGTGAACTCCATCAGAGCAGAGGTGTTACTTTGTTCCCTTCTGTATTTCCAGCACAGAGGATGGTTGGACACAGAGGGTACTCAATGAAGACTCCAGTGGGTGAGGGAAGGCCCTCCCTGGGGAGACACAATGGTTACTTGGTGAGAGGCAGAAACTAAGTGTCCTACACTCTGTTAAAAGATGGGAATGGCACACCACAATTGTAAACATGGTTAAGACAACTACAGAGGGAATTGAAACTGGAACCTGAACATAAGAAGTCTAGTCTATTTTGGAGGATCAGATGGGAGATGCTTGAAGGCTTGAGTCAAAGCAGAAAAAAAGGAAGGGAGCAGCAGGGAACACCCAGCTAGGAGTCTTCTAGGTGAGCAGAGGAGACGGCCAGAGTGCAGTGAGTCAGGCCCTTGACTAGAACAAGTTGCAAGTCATTCAGAGATAACTGTGGCCTGGTTTCCACTGCCCCCCTGGCTTTCAGCAACTCGGACATTTATTCATCTAGTTAAATATGTAAGGTTTTAATGTGTATAACATGAGGACAGTACTTTATGTCTTTAAGAAGTTTGGAAGCTAGACCTGACCTCTCATCTATTAAGGAGGCTAAAGCAGGACGATTATAAATTCAAGGCCTGCCTGGGCTGTAGAAAGGGCTGAAGTGCAGTCTGCCTCAAAAGTTAAAATATGTAAATCAATAAAAATCAAAAGGCTAGGGCAGAAGTTTAGTGGATGATTGTGAGTGTGTGTGAGGCCCAAGTTCAACCTCTGGTACCAACAACACTTTCCCTTGAAAAAGTTTGACATCTTGAAAAAAAGATGTATTGGATAAACTAAGAAAAGGATTTAAGTGACGCTGCCTAAGCCTCACTTGTGGACTTAGTCCATGTCTACAGGGGAAGAAATGAATTAGCAGCCCAAGTACTCTGTGTACAGGAGCTGCACTGTGCCTGGATCATCAAACTGAAGAGGATGCCTAGTAACAGTCAGGGTGTCTAGTATGGAGTAAACTCTTTGTTTTTTTGTTTTTCGAGACAGGGTTTCTCTGTGGCTTTGGAGGCTGTCCTGGAACTCGATCTGTAGACTAGGCTGGTCTCAAACTCACAGAGATCCGCCTGCCTCTGCCTCCCCAGTGCTGGGATTAAAGGTGTGCACCACCAACACCCAGCCTAGATTTGTTCTTAATCTTTAATTAGTGACAGACCCTAGACTGGAATGCATCGCAGTGGTCTTGGCCATGCCTGTTGGGCCCCTGAGGCTGTTTGGAAAAGGTGTGAGCCCTTTACTCAGCAGCTTTTTGTAGACTCGGCAAGTTTGGGTGACTCATCAATTGGAATGAGGCCATTTGGATATTTTACCTCTTTTACAGTATATAGATGGAATAAACTTCAATATTAAGATAAATTTCATGAGTGGACTTTGTTTTTAAGGTGACTGGTATTTGAGACAAATTAATTCCTAGTACAATTCCAGTTGATGAGAAAAATTAATTCCTAATAAAATTCCAATCAACAAAATAGAAAATGATAAAAATATATGTATCATTCAAGTCTGCAGCCCTGTAGAAAATGTATATCACCATTTTGTACTCTGTAGTGGAGATCTAGTGGATGAAACTGATGAGTATTCTATACTAAGCAAGACGATTCAGGGACCATCCTGACTGCCACCAAGAGAGAGATTAAATGTATCTTGTTATGATACAATGAGAAAAACAGAATATTTCTTTATATCCTGGCAATGAAAGTCAATCAAAAATCTGAGGAAGCCTCTAATCTACCTGTTCTCTAGAAAGAGTGGTCAGAGGAATGTATTAAACTACATAGGTATGTGATCTTTCAAACACAGAATATGGAAAGCTATTGCTAATGTTGAGTTGTGCTCAGCTGCAGTGAGGTCTCTGGGAACATGTGGTCCTTAGGCCTCGCTCAAGACTGACTGCCTCAGAATGTAAGTGTTTGCTTGTATCTTTATGTTCTGGTGATGAGCACTTTACAGGACAGTGGCCTTTTCCGTAAATGAATAGTAAGGAAAACAGAACAGGGGAAGCTTTACAGTTGGAAGGAAATGTAAGAGACATCATCCCAACTGCCATGTCAAGCTTTTGGGTTTTTTTTTTTTATGTATACCGAAGAATGACTAGGAAAACAGCAGAAGTCTTTGTAAAATATTGAAAGTCTTTGTCTTCCATTATGTTTCTATAAACGCAAAAGACTCACTGAAGTTTATAGCACACAATGGTTGTGAGTCTGAGCTGAGGTATCTCAGGCAGTGACTGGCTGCATTGTGTAGTGGGAAGGCCTGCATGATGCCAAGTGTGCATGTCTTTCCTTCAGCAAGAAGGCTGCAGTGATAACAGGTGAGGGGTCATTGCGTATTACATTTTTAATCAGTTTTTGGTTGTTGCTCATTCAGAAACCTTTTATTATTGCCAACTTTTTTGGAAACCCACAGTTCTACAATCCCATACAGGACCACAAGCCACAGTTACAGAATCAGAACTTTGCATGCTAGTGATACATGTCTCTAACCCCAGAGCTGGGGAAGAGAGAAAAGGGGATCATTGGGACTTACTGACCAGCCAGTCTCAAGCTCCAGGTTCGGTGAGAAATTTTGTCTCAAATAAGGTGGAGAAGCAACGAAATGAGTTGTTCAACAGTGATGTCAACCTCCTCCTCCACACATGCCTGTGTAAGAGAACGCACCCCTCCTGCAAGCATGCCTGCATAGGAGAATACACCCCTCCTGCACACATGCATACACACACATACTTCTCCTCCTCCTCCTCCTTCTATCTGAGATCCTGTTATCAAACCATAGAGAGATAGAGGGAATCCTGGCAGTTGACTGAGTATTTTAGGCACCATCTCAAAGAAGACCCAGGGTTAGCCCTGTCTTGAGGACCTGAGTGAAGGAGTTGTGTCCTTTAGTCTTCATCTCTACATAGAGATGGCATGTGAACAGTTCAGCCATCTTGATCACTTGCTCCTATATACATTTCGTTTTAATTGAAACTTTTTCATATGATATATTCTAATGACACTTTCCCCCTCCTCCAGCTCCTACTATATCCTCTCCATGCATCCAACTCCATGCCCTTTCTCTCTCTCTCTTTGTCTTTTGCAAGACAGGCTTTTACTATGGAGTCCTGGCTGTCTTGGAACTCTGTAAACCAGGCTGACCTCGAACTCACAGAGATCTGCCTGACTCTGCCTCCCAAGCGCTGGGACTAAAGGTGTGTACAACCGCCACCCTGGCTGTCTTCCCCCCTCCCTTTCTTTAGAAAACAAAACTAAACAAGCAAAAACAAGAAACACACAAAAGATCCTTCACAAAGGAAGAAGCCAAACATACAGCTAAACAAAATTTCACAGAGCAGTATGAAACAAAAATTAAAAAAAAAAATTACCTTTGAGTTCATTTTGTGTTGTCCAACTCCTGGGCATGGGGCCTACCCAGTGAGACTCCTTTGGAGAAAACTAATTTTTCTTTGCAAGCATGTATCAAATGCATTGTGTCAAGGGCTTCTCGGTTAGGCCTGTGTCTACTTGGTTTCTTTGTTACTAATGGAAGCTTGTGTCTACTTCCCTCTCTCAGTGCTGGGACCCTGTCTGATTTGAACCAGTGCAGGCCCTGTGTGTACTGCTACAGTTTCTGTGAGTTCATATTTGCATCAGTCCTGTTGTGCCTGGAAGAAATGTTTTCCTGGGAGTCCTCCATCCTGGTGGGCTCTTCTAATCGTTCTGCCTACTCTTCCACACAGATTCCTGCACCCAGTTCAAAAGTATTTTAAATCAACCATGCTATATAAGGGCTAGAGTCTTACATTTTGCTTTCAAATGCTCGTTTTCTTTTGCATAGAATGCAGTAGATCTTACCATTAACCATCTTTCAGGGTTTGTCTGCACCCCTGCTGTAATCGCTTCTGATGGCTGCTAACAAAGGAAGAGGACGGGCTGCCTACACCTTTAATATCGAGGCCGTTGGCTTCAGCAGGGGGGAAAAGCTACCTGATGTTGTGCTGAAGCCACCACCACTGTTTCCTGTAAGTGTAATGACACTTCAGTTTTCACAAGGGGTTTTTGTATGTTTTGAAGGTTTAGGGCTTAAATACATGGTGCTATCATGATGTCCTCATGTCTAAGAATAAAAGACTATGTTGCATCTCTCTGGTACTAAAACAACTGGTTAAAATACAGAGAACAAAACAATATATACCTTTCTACCAACATAATGAGTACTCTGTGAATTATTTGAAATCCTGTGTCTTGCTACTGATGTTATTAATCTACTCTACCACAAGATTTTAAGTAGTTTTATGATACATCCTGATGTATCCACCTAGTGATTTTATATTTATAGAAAATACTTTTTTTTCTTTATTAGTATATCTCTTTTGTCTCATTCAGGTTTATTGCTGTTGTATCATTGTTTTATCTCAGTAACTTTGCATTTTGTTAATTTCTTAGAACAGAAACATTTCTGCTACTTTAGGGATTGCTTCTAAATTTAACGACATGACATAACGGCTGATATTTCAATTGAAAACAGTAGCTTACATTTCCAGATGGGTACCTGCTGCTCAAAGCTAAGCAGTCATCCATACAAGATCCTCTTAATTAATTCCCTCCGCTAACCTTTCCTGTTTCAGATGGAGAAGTCTCTTGTTGAAGGACTTGTGGCAGCAGAGAACCCTGGGTCCTTGTCCAGACACTCATATAAAGAGACATACTTTTTAAAAAATGAAATATTTTGATTTTATGAGAATTTTATACATGACTATTATACTTAAATTGTTTTGTCTCCTTTAACTCCTCCCATAGCCTCCTTATTCCCTCTCAAATTCATGACTTCTTCTATAATTTTGTTGTTATATATATACACTTTACATGTACAATAATGTATAAAATGTATACGCACACATGTTAGGGCTGACTACTAGACATTAGATAACCTAGTAGAGGCATTGTTCTTGGAGAAAACTGATTTTCCCTCTCTCTGCAGTAATTAGTTGACTGTAGCTCTTTATGTAGAACTGGGGGGTGGGGGAGGGGGCTTTGGAATACCCCATCCACTTTGGCATGTAAACTGTTCAACAACATAATGCAGCTCTGTCTTTTTTTTTATTTAACTTTTTACACATGTCACTCTCAGTTCCCTCTCCCTCCCCTCCTCCCCCAGCCACCCAGTCCTCCCAACTCCCATCCCACTTCATTCCCCCTCCGCTCCCCAGGGAGGGCAAGGGCTTCCATAAGGAATTTTCAGAGTCTGTCACTTCATCCCAGGCAGGGCCTAGGTCCTCCCCACATGTGTCCAGGCTGAGAGAGCATACTTCCATGTGGAATGGGTTCCCAAAGTCCATTTGTATGCCAGAAATAAATACTGCTCTATCTCTCCAAGGTCCCACAGATTGCCAAGGCCTCCTCTCTATCACCCCGGTTCAGTGGGAGGGTGTCTGGATCAGTCCCATGTTGGCCTCTCAGTCATCAGTCTGGGGTCCATGCATTCTCCCTTGTTCAGGTCAGCTGCCTCTGTGGGTTTCGCCAGCCTGGTCTTGATTCCTTTGCTCATCACTCTTTGCAACTGGGTTCCAGGAGTTCAATTCGGTTTTTAGTTGTGGGTGTCTCTGCCTCTGCTTCCGTCAGCCACTGGATGAGGGCAGCTCTTGACCTACCACACTGCTGAGATTTCAGGGGTGCGACTTCTGCCGTCCCTAGAAGACTGTCTCACATCACATGTTCTAATCTTCTGGCTCTTACATCATCCCACCCACTCTTGTGCGATGTCCCCTGAGGCTTAGGTGTAGAGGTCGTGCTATTGATGGGCACCCAGGGTCTCTTATGCTACAGATCGACCAGTCCCAGTTGTGGATCTATGTAAGTGCCTCTGTGTGCTGCAGAAAGAGCTCCTGTATAGAGAACTACATCTACCTGCGGGTGTAAGGATGATTGTGTTTAGAACACAATTAGAAATTGTATCAGCCATGGGAACTGACAGTGGTAAATTTTCTCTAGGGTCTGGAACCTCTTCAGCCATGAGTAGTTGGCTGGGTTTACAGTGTCAGGGGTGAACTTCCTCCTACCAAATGGGCCTTGTGTCCAATTGGACGGCCGTTGGTTACCCCCAAGTTGCAAGTGCCACTATTTCGTCACTGGGGTGCCTTGCTGCTGGGCCAGTTACTGTTGTTGATAGACTTTACAGCTGGGTGGGACTGCTGATTGCTTTTTTCCTTTGGCAGTTCAATAGCACTCTCCAGTACCACAGGAGCAAATCCTCGGGGAGGGGGCTTCCAGGTGGTGTCCTCAGCACCTTCACAGTTCTGGGAGGAGAGAAGGGCAGTGGCAATGCCTATGCTATTTGGGGAGTGTGTCTCAAAGAAGCTTGCCCGCACCTGACACCATGACTCTTGTGGGGAGCATTATTATCCTGGGTACTGTAACTCCATGTAAACTGTACATTCATACTCCCATGTATCCAAGCTTATAAATAACATTTCCCTATGGCTTTTTCAAGCATCCTTAGTGTCACTTATCTCTCCTTCCTCCCTCTCCCGCTATAGGGCCCTGCCTGCTCCTCCCTACTAGAAGGGACCTCCTTTCTTCTTTCGTAGCGCCTGTGTCCTATCAGGCTTTTTGCTCTTCAGATTTACCTTTAATACTCAACATAGCTTGAAAACAAGTATCTCAGGTATAGGCATGATATCTCATTGTACTGACTACCTTCAAAATAAGGCCACTGGGTAGAGATTAGCACTAAACAGTGGGAAAGTGAGCACATGGCCTTTTTTTTTTTTTTAAATAAAACTAGCTTATTGGCTGGAAGGCTGGTCCTGCCCTGGCTTTCCTTGTGTCACCAGCCTTCCCTCATCACTGTCTTTCTCAAGTCCCAGCTGGGCTGAACCCCTTGCCCTCTTGTGTCTTTGTCCCTGCTGGGTCCCTATCTGGTTTCTTTGCGTAGACATTTGATTGATTTTGTCCCTGGGTTTGTCCAAATCTGACTTCCTCAAGAGGCTACACATGCTTACCCTGTGCAAACTAGTGACCACCAATCTGTAGTGATGTACTGTTTATGATCTATTAAAGCTTGCCTGGAGGTCAGAATGTAAAGCTAGCCACAGCCACAGAGGCCAGGCAGTGGTGGCACACACCCGTAATCCCACGACTCAGGAGACAGACACAGATGGATCCCTGTGAGTTCAAAGCCACCAAAGGTTACCTGAGAGTGAATCAGTCTAAAAGAGAAACAGAGCTCACACCTTTAATCCCAGCAGGAGAGGGTTATACAAGACAGGAGCTCAGTGTCTCATGCTGTGTTCTGGGAATTAGTCTCCAGCCATCTTGAGCATAGGATTGCCCTAGCCTTGGTAAGAGCCCTCTGGTAGCTTGGCTTCTTTGCTTTTCTGATCACCAGCTTGAACCCCAATATCTGTCTCAGGGTTTTTATAATTTGTGTTACACCAACCCGCATGTCATGTCCTGTGTTCTTTTTTTTGTTTGTTTTTATGGTCTGAAATTTATTGTGCCTCTTGTTTAATTGTGTGTTCTTTCCCCAAGATGTAAGTTCTGTTGTCTAGTACACAATAACTTCTCAAGAAATAGTTTTGAATGCCTGAATAGATTCAGAATCCATCTTTGGAAATATATTGTATCTTTACCCTCTCGTCCATACGAATTTTTACCATGTATGCTGGCTCGGAGCCCACGTATATATGATCATATATTCATACTAGCATATGCATATAAATACTGCATGTGTGGAATCTTTTTCCTACCTCTAAAATGAGAATAAAGTAGGAAATGGGCTATATAGCTAGGTTTTAAAAGTGTTTTCTTTAAAATTTTGACACAGAGTTTTATACTGTAGCCTGTGCTGTCCTGGAACTCACTCTATAGCCCAGGCTGGCTGGAAGCAGTATCCCAAGTGCTGAGATTAAAGAGTGAACAATCTCACTTGTCTAGGAGCTCAAGAGTCTCTGAGTTGATCGTAAAGTTTGGTGCAAATGAAGCGTAATCTTTCAGTAAGACCAGCATTGTCTAGCATGTGCATAAGAGAAATACTAAAACGCTTAGTTTATTTAAATAGGCCTTGTCTCTTAATTTAAACAGGATACAGATTACAAGCCAGTGCCCCTGAAAACAGGAGAAGATGAGGATTACATGCTGGCCTTGAAGCAAGAGCTGAGAGAAACAGTGAAACGAATGCCTTATTTTATTGAAACCCCTGCAGAAAAACAAGGTATGTATTAGGTCCTTTATGAGGCAATTTGGTGTTAACAGAGGAAATGGTGTGTACAACCAACTTGAAAAAAAGTACTTATCAGAAGTCAAAAAGGGCAAACATTTATATTTTATTGTATGTTTTTCCTTCCATGAGTGCTAATAGAATGAAGTGTTTTTTCCATTTTTTTTTTTTTAGTTTAGCTATGCAATGCTGTGATTATTACCACTGTGCATAGCTTTTTATGGATGCCTCTGATTATTGACAGTTTAGGCTAAAAAACTTTAAAAGCCTTGATTTTTGGTTTATTGCTTATATTCTGATGACATGAAATATAAAATGTGTTCCTTCTAGATGCTGAGGGCAGAGAGGCGGAATAACACTTCCAGAAAACCCAGCATCTCAGACGAGAAAGGGGAAGTGGTTTTCGAGGAAGTGAGCCTCCTCACGAGTAGTTCTTAAGCACAATAAAAACGTATTGATTGTTAGATCAATACCATCTCTGAGTTCCTAGAACAACATCATTAAAACATGAGAAATTCGTATAGTATCAGCTCATGCCATTAGTGTTAAAGCTGTTTTTTTTTTTTTCTTTGTTTCTTTCTAAGAGACTTACATTGGCTGGGTCAACAAGGAAGTGTATAGATGATGGTATTACATGTCTTCATAAGAAGCATGTTGGACAAGTTTAATCTCAATGACTTATGTGCTTAAATGTATAAAATGACTTGATCAATTTTCCCTCAGCAATAAAAAAAAGTTTTATTTTCTTGATTTTGTTCTATGCTTTTGTCTGGATTTAAAAATAAAATCAAATTTATATGTTTCAGAAATCAGCTAGTAAATACTCATTTTTATTTTAAAAATTAACAATGCATAGTATATTTTAATCCTACTAAAATTAGACTTTTCCCTAGATAGAAGACATGTTTAGCTAATGCAATGTGTTTATTAAAATGCGCATCTAACTGAAAAGTACACCAACTCATTCAAGCAGTTCTAGGAGTCTTTCTTCTAGGTAGGGTCATTGTTTTAGTGACTGTGGTATTGCCGCGAGGTGATCCCATGAGCAAGGCAGCTTTTACAAGAAAGCATGTCATTGGGGGCTTGCTTCCAGTTTCAGAGAGCGAGGTCATGGTCACTATGGTGGCAGTCAGACATGGCACTGGAGCAGTAGCAGAGAGCTCACAGCTGATCCACAAGCTGCAGGCAGAGAGAGAGCAAAAGTGGAGTTTGGAAACCTCAGAGCCAATCCCCAGTGGCACGCCTCCTCCTCCAACAAGGCCACACCTCCTAACCTTTCCCGAGCTTCATCAACTAGGGACCAAACATTCAAACATATGAGCCTATCAGGCCATTCCTCATGCAAACCACCACGGTCATTAAGAACTGGTTTTTAATCTGTGGGAGTAAGTGACTTGAATCAGGATCAAGGGGGTACTTTATCCTTGATAAATAAGTCATCAAATATAAAAAGATACTTACTTGCTTAATCCCATAATAAATTCTATATAGGATTTTCCAAATTGATAGAAGTAAAAACTCTTCACACCATTCTATCTGCTCCTCCTCCCTGATAAGTGTGGTTAAAAGGAACTGTGGTTCAAATACAGCTTTGTTTTTTATTGTTGTTGTTGTTTTGGTTTTTTTGAGGCATGGTTTCTCTTTATTGTTTTGGAGGCTGTTGTCTTGGAACTTGCTCTGTAGCCCAGGCTGCCCTTGAACTCACAGAGATCCGCCTGCCTCTGCCTCCCGAGTGCTGGGATTAAAGGTGTGCGCCACCACCACCTGGCTCAAATACAGTTTTAAACATCTGTGTGCATTCATATGTGTGTGTAGAAGCACGCACAGCACATCAATCTCCTCTCTTAACAATGGGTAATGTCTCCCAAGACATCCCCCAGCGCATGCCGGAAACTACAGACAGTACCTGGCCCTGGATGCCGCCAGCACTGCGGTGCCGTCATTGGTGACTGAGCGTGTGACATGGGGATGCCGGACAGAGGCATGGGCGTACAGCACACTGTGCATCTGTAGGCAGACTTTTTGTTTTGGCCAACTCCTCCTGGGCACGGGGCTGCTTTGGAGTATGGTTGATATACCTAGTAGAAAGGAGGAACAGGAGAAAATTGGTTTTCCATTGCCCGTGGGTATCAATTCCAAATATTTTCTTGGTCAGGGCTGGGATCCTATGTCCACTTCCCACTCTTAGGCCTGGAGCCCAAGCGTGTTGAACCTGTGTAGCCCTCTGTGTGCTGCCACAGTGAGCTCGCACGCGCGTCAGGCCTGCTGAGACATCGTTTGCTTCTACTTACCTGTCACCTCTGGTTCTTCCAACTGTTCTACCTCCTTTTCCTTATCTCTGAGCCTGAGGGGAGAACTTCCACGAAGACAGCCCATTCAAGCCTGAGAGCTCCAGTGCGCGTACGCATGCGCGTGAGCCCGTCTGTCTCTCACTTCAAGAAGAGACTTCTCTGGTGTGGGTGGAGTAAGGCATTGATCTATTCTTATGGCAGTATGTCGTTATGAGTCATTTTATTGCTGTCTGAGCCTCTTTTTATGGTGAGCCATGCTTTCAAATGTTTATGTTATGGTTCTCTTTACCAGCTTGTGTTGCTTGTGAAAAGGGTAGGGCTATTTTCGGGCTTGCCTGGCAAAGCTGACAAGCCAGAAGCAAAACACAGCCATGGCTCATCTGACCCTGGCAAGTTCAGATGGTATCTATAGAGCTTGAAATAGTTTGTAGAAGGCTTACAGCTGACACGCTTGGTTTCCCAAACGAGTAACCTCTCACCACACTCAGCTCTCTTATCTCTATCCTTCTTCCCTGTTGTGAAACCTCCCAATCTGATTATGTGTTTATGAAACGCTAGAGGTGATCCATTAGCCCTCCGTTCCACTAAGGTATTGATATACTGCAGTGAGGCACAGTTAGATCGGAGGTACAAGAACAGAAAACACGGACTGCACCTTTGTGTGGTAGTGGCTTCCTGATCCGACTCTGAACTTCTATGAAGATTCTCACAGGCTAGGCACGCTGTCGCAGTCTGTGAACCAGGTTCAAGACTGATGTCTCTGTTTACCCCACCCTTGCTCTTGCCTCTCTGTAACCCCGTTACTCATTTGAACTTGTCAATATTGGTTCCATTACATATGTTATATACAAATGTAGGAAATATATGAAAATAAAAGACTTGGTGATGTGAACTATTTTAATGAATGGCTTATGCTTTTGTTTCTAATGAATGCTTTTTCTTTTCTCACCCTAGATGATATTGAAAGGTATAGTAAGCGGTATATGAAGGTATACAAAGAAGAATGGATACCAGGTATTATAAAACAGACCATGTTACAATACCTTTTTAAAAGATTTCATCTTAGTTTTATTTATGGACATGTGTGTGTGTGTGTGTGTGTGCGCGCGCGCGCACGCGCGCCATGTTTGTAGGGGTTCCATGGAGACCAGAGGAAGGAGTCAGATACCCTGGTGCTGGCATCACTGTGTGTGTGCCATGTTTGTGGGGGTTCCATGGAGACCAGAGGAAGGAGTCAGATACCCCGGTGCTGGCATCACAGCAGTGCTAGGTGGTTGTGAGCTCCCTGCTGTGTCTTGAAGTTGAACTCTGGATGGGAAGCAAGAGCTCTTAAGCACTGAACTGAGCTGCCCCTCCAGCTGCTCCTCAAAGTACTTCTTAAAGACCCCTTCCCTATCCATACTACAAAAACTGTAGTAGGTTCTTAGCTGTTTTCTTTGTTTTTAACTGTAGCAAAGTAGTCCCCCCCAACCATGATTAATTAATAATGAAAAATCATTTTGAAACTAAGAAGAAAAGATTTTTATACTGTAACAAGAATGTACTGTTGTATCCACATTCTGAACCCCAAAATCACCAAGAGGCCCATATCGATACAAAAGCAAAGAGTCTTTTATTGAAGTTATTTAACAAGCTAAACCCATTAGCTCAGACCCCTAGCCCCGCCACCATGGCAGATGGCTAGAGAAAGACCCCGAGCATCCTCGAGGCAGGGATCTTAAAGGGCAGTGTAAGGGGAGTGTCTTGGGGTATGGAACAGTCTCAGGATTTGTATGCTTCCAGGTTTGGGTGACCTGCCCTGTGTTGATTGGTCAACTGGTTGTTATGGCCCATAGACCCTCTCAGGGCGGTTGCTATGCTCTGCATGTCACTGCTGTGCACTTGTCCGTAAAGCACACCCAGAGCCATAAAGCACAGCCCTGACAGCTAACTTTTGATTGGCTCTTGCCACAAGGAGGGCATCTGACCTTAGGGACCAGGACAGGAGCTGCAAAGTTATGCAAGCACATGGTAGCCTGTCACGGCTGCTAAAATGGGGAACTGGTCACTCCAGTACTGAACTGTGTGTGTGTGTGTGTGTGTGTGTGTGTGTGTAGTTAGATTTTCATTAGCCACAGTCACAATTGTACTACAAAAAACACTTGGTTCTTAGTTCCTGGTTGATTTTATGGTTCTCTTGTTTGTTGAGACACCATGCCAGTCCAGAACTGATCCTCCTGCCTCAGCCAGGCCAGTCTTTGAGATTTCAGGCTTTTGCTCTGTTTTGTATCCCAGGCTGACCTTTGACCCTTCTGTTTCCTCGGCTGCCCTGTTTTATCTCATCCAGTTCTCTGTGGTGCAGGGTGTTGAATGTAAGGCTCCTCCATAGTATGTGAATACTCTTATCAAATGAAGTGTCCTCAAAGCCAGATTTGAGACTCTTTAAGGGGAAAGACAATGTCCAACTTGAAGGATACTTTAAACCAAGCTTGTGAGCAGAGCTCTCTGTTACTCGAGGGCACAAGGTCAAGTTTTAGCTGCTGACACACTGTTTCAGTAGGGACATACCTGATGGCTTCTGTTAGCATTCAGAAGTATTACAATTGACAGGATGGAGGGGCTTTAGAGGAAAGGTCATTCAACCAGTTTATTTTTATAAACAGAAAACAGTTGCCATAGAAACAAAATAACCCCTCAGGGTTTCTTACAAACACCGCTGTCCCTCAGGCTTTCTGACAGTAGCGTTTATAGAAGCTGCCCTTAGGAAAATGTGCAGACACTGTCAAGTACATCATCACTTCCCAAGGGCAGAGTGCGCCTTCCCATCCATCTTAAGATGTGGGGTGAGGGTGGAAACCCTCTCCCAAATCATTCTTTTTACATGTTTTCTCATGGTCTTAGTAGTTTGAACCTAAAATATATTCAAAGCAAAATTTATCACGTCAGGTAAAATGATGAAAGTTTGTACAAATACACTGACATTTCTTGATTAGCAGCCAATATCTTGAAATCCTTTTTGAATATTTCAAAATTGTTAACCTGTGTATTTATGTTGTGTGCACACACGAGTATGTGTGTATGTTTACACCACATGTGTGTAGGTGCCTGAGGAGGCCAGAAGAGGGCATCAGATCTCCTGGAGCTGGAGTTACATGTGACTGTGAGCCACCTACCATGAGTGCTGGAAACTGAACTCCGTCCTCTGGAAAACCAAGTGCTCTTACCACTGAGCCATCTCTCTCGCCCTTTTAAATCTGTATTTACATAGCTTCAGTTGTACGTCTATCTTTAGTATTAAAAATTAAAAATGGGGGTAAGGATTGTAGAATATTTGCCTAGCATATATGAGGCCCAAGGTCAATTCCTAGCATCCTCCACACAATTCAAAGAAAGTAAATAATTAAAGGAGTTATTTAGTTATTGCAACTGAAAGTCATTTGTTGGTGAGAATTTACATGTTCACAACTACTAGTGTTTTTTTAATTGAAAACTTTCAAATAATTACTAAAATTATTTTATGTTATATGTATTGGGTTCAATTACATCCCTTAACTTTTGAAAAAAAAAGTTACAAATTACAAAGTAGTCAAATAATATCTTGCAAAAACAGTTGTGATCTTAATCTTAACATCCAAAAGAAATTTGCATAAGATTTCTTTCCAAGACTCTTTATTGAAACATTTCAAAGCTGTTTAAAGAGCCATTTTTCTTTACAGGAGAAATTGTGTTACTGTGTGTGCTATTTATTTTTGTTTTGTTATGTTCCAGGCTGAATCTGTACAATCAAACTCTGAGAAATTTTGCTGTCTTTGCCATTAAAGCTGCTCTTTAAACAATTGGGTCCAGAGCCCCCCAGGAAACTGAGATTTTTATTCTTTCTTTTGTACACACAGACTGGAGAAGACTTCCCAGAGAGATGATGCCAAGGAAAAAATGCAAGAAAGGTACACTCACTAAACATGGCTGTAGTCCAGGGTGGAAACGGTTGCTTAATCTCTATTAGTGCAGAAGTCAACCTGCAGTTCTCCTCAGCGTTGTGCCGTCTTTCTCCTGAAGTATGTCTGACATGCTGATTATAGTACTTGTGGCTCGGATGCGGTTGGCATTGGGGCCTTCTTGACTTCATCTCGTTGGCAGTTGTTGGCTGTTGGGGGAGGTGAGTCCGTTCTCTTCAAGGCTGTGGCCACATGAAGGTCTTGACTCGACTCAGTGGGTTACTGATAAAAGGGGGACATAAAGGTGGGAAGGAGAGTGAGAATGGATTCAGGAGCAATTAATAGGAGACGGGGAGATGGATAGGAAATAATGCATTGTGTAAGTGTGTAATTTTCAAGGAATCAGTGAACTATCTAATACTAAAAAGAAAGACATAACTGTAACAGGAAAGATTGGGGAGCTGATAAAATAGAATTTTCTGTTAGATAAAAGGATGCCAAAGTGTGTATTTTTATATTTGTTCTTTGTTAATGCCATCCAGTAAATAACTGAGTGCCTGCTATTGCCAGACACTGTGTCGGGATGAACGGGGCCCATGGAGGTGGGACTGCCCTTGCCTCTTGGAGGAAAAATCTGAAAGGGGCTGGAGAGATGACCCAGGCAATCAAGTACTTGCTGCTCAAGCATGGGTTACTCGAGTTCCGATCTCTGTCACCCACATAAAAAACGTTCAGCACAGCTGCAGGCACCTGGGAACTCCCCCCATGATCTCCAGGATCAGTGAAAAAATAAGATAGTGCACTATTGAGGCCAGTGACTGTTGGCTTCCAAGTGAACACCCATGGGTTCACACATACTCACATGCAAGGAACAAGACATGAAACCAAACCATATGACCCTTTGGGAAGTCTGGGGAGGGTTTTGAGGAAGTGCGTGTGGAGCGGCCATTGAAGGTGGTTGGGTGCTTACTAGCATGTGTAGTGGGAGGGCTTTGGAGAAAGACAGGCTGGTATGTGAAATCACAAGCTTGGTTCAGACTTGGTATGTGTTGTTGCTTTGAGATCCACCTAGAGTGTTGTCTGTGGCGATGGACTGTCGTAGACCATGAAGGGGGCCTGTGCTCATCATCACAGGACGGATCCTAGAGATCAGAACTCATCATCACAGGACGGATCCTAGAGATCAGAACTGGTGAAATAGTCAAGGGGAAATTAGATCATCCGAAGAGAGCAGGAAGGGCCACAGTCTGAACAAGAAGGAACTGCAGAACTTAAAGAAATGGTGGAGAGGATTAACCCAGCAAGGAAAGAGAGCAGAGAGAGAGGGAGACCAAGCTGGGAGAGCTGCTGGAGGGGTGTGCACAGCAGGGGAGAGGCCTCCAGGAGTCAGCTGTCTGGAAGGGGCAAAGCAATAGTACTCAAGGGAGTTGAAGACCCCAAGTCTCCTTGTTTTTAAAGATTTTCTTTTCATTTATATGTATGCATGAATTCCTAAGCAAATCAACAATTAAATTCTACTTACCAATTTGAGCTAGTACTAATATTTTTAATTGTACGCAGTACAGTTTTTGTGTTTTATCCTCCCTTTTGTGATGGCCTCCATGAAAGTAGACAGTGACAGAGGACTCTAGGGTGGCAGAGGTGTGTTGAGGAAGCAGCTTCTAACAGATACCAAAAGAAGCAAGTTCAAGGATGTGCACATGTGAGAAAAATGTTAACTATGGAAAATTTTCATGTCAACGTTTTAGGATAAAAATCATCTTTCTGTAATATTGGTGATTTGATATCTCTCCCCTGAATATGAGTGTGTGTTCATGAATTAAGTATTAAAACCAAAATAAAGAAAGATGAGTGGGATAGAATCTGGGACTCTTGGATTTTAGCCAGGAAACTAGAACTATGGGCCTGAAAAGAAGACTGTGTGGTCAAGAGTCCTTCCTGCTTGATTAGAGGACCAAAGTTCTCTACTCCACATCAGTGACTCATAAGTGTCTGTAACTCCAACTCCAAGAGAGCTGACACTCCATTCTGATATACACACACAGAGACACACACACAGTGTCTGTGTCTCTGTGTGTGTGTGTGTGTGTGTGTGTGTGTGTGTGTATGTGTCTGTAACTTCAACTCCAAGTGATCTGACATTCCATTCTCTCCTCCCTACACCTCTCTACCTCTCTCTCTGTCTCTCTCTCTCTGTCTCTGTGTGTGTGTGTGTGTGTGTCTGTAACTTCAACTCCAAGCGATCTGACATTCCATTCTCTCCTACCCACACCTCTCTACCTCTCTCTCTGTCTCTCTGTCTCTCTGTCTCTCTCTCACACACATACACAAATATAAACTATTTAAAAATGAAATTAGTAATTTTTATTTGTATATTTAGCCGATCAGTTTTATAATATTCACCTAACTGTTGTATATATCATGAAATTTCATATAAAGTCCTTAGAGAAAAAGACTGTGTAGTGTGAACAAATTGTATTTCTAGCTAATAATCATTGGTGTCCATGTTATAGTACTTACTGAGATCTTATTCATATATGATACTGTGCTTTGAGTACTTATTGAACAGTCCTTGCGTTCCAGGAGGGCAGGAAAGTTATGAGTTGTACATCATTTGATACGTTAGGTTCTTTTTTATTATCCAAACTAAAGTTACTGAAACATGCCATTTCATGTATGTGAAGTGACAAGCAGAGCATTTCAATCTTCAGTGAAGACAGTTCTTGTGACAAGCATGTCTCTAATGATATTAATTGTGAGACTACAGTACTTAGTTAAATATACTGGTTGTGATCATTACAAAATATCACGTGAAGTGATTGGCATTTGTTTGGAGCTTGGTGAGGTATGGTGATCTTGTGGGAGGAGCTTAATTTACACTGGAAATGATGTGGCTGCCTGGTATGGGGGAGTGCTGCAGGAGAGCTTGGGGGACCCAGCTGTTCCTGTGGAAGATCTGTTAACAGCTGGTTGTTCCCTTGCAGCGGATCCAAAATCCAAAACAGCCAAAGCTGCAGACAGAGGGCCTTCACTCGCTAATTCTGCAGATGTGTTGAAAAAAATTGAGGTAAGATTATAGTTATGAACATGGGCTGAAAAAAACATAAAAAGCTATGCTCCCTCCACTACCTTCCAGCCTTCTCTGTGTAATAAAGCGGAGTTGGCAGAAGAGAGGCCAGCACTTAAGTTAGGTGTGAGGGAGCGAGCCCCCTGCGGAGGAACACACATGGGCCCCTGCCCTGCCATCTTCTCTGAGCTGCTCTCTTTTCTTCTTCTTTTTAAACACCACCCACAACCCCCGGCTCTTTCTACTGTGTCCTTAACACCCCTTTGTATGAGATTGGGGCATGGAGGAAGAGAGAATTAAGTGCAATTCTTTAGGGAAGTCCTGGCTTTCCCTTTGTCGGTGTATATGTTTTTACCCCCGTCCCACAGTGTTTTCAGTATAAATAGAAGACTCTATTGAGGAAAACCTGGTACTCTATGGAACTTATTTCCCTATCATTAAGCAAGAAAACAACAACAAAAAGAAAAACAATTTAAGTTAGTACCTTAAAAATACATTCTCTCATCTCTAGTCATACCATTCATTTTTTTTGTTGTAAGCTCCAAAACTACATGTTTCTTATGTATATCCTTTCAGAAATGTTTTATTCATAAAATACAGAACTTTCCCCCATAATTTTTCATCTTTAAAAATCATTTTATTACTTTATGTGTGTAAGTGTTTGGCCTGCATGTATGTATGTACATCACATGAGTGCCTGGTGTCCATGGAGGTCAGAAGCAGGGGTCAGATCCCCTGGGACTGGAGTTAGGAAACCTGGGCCCTCTGCAAGATCGACAGGACTCTTAACTGCTGAGCCATGTACCCAGCCTGAATCCCCCAATTTTAATAACACAGACAGTGTGTCACACTTCTGCATTTTTATTTTGTTTTACTCCCTACTTACAGAAGAAAGTCAACGATTTGAGTATGGTCTTGCTGACCTCCTTGGCACATCTCCTTGATGGAAAGCTCCTGGCTTTACTGTTCTATTTTTCTAACAGTATTTGCGCTGGATCATAATAATATAATATCTGGAAGATCAATGAAGGAATAGCAATAACTGTCAGGTTTAACTAGGTGGAATAATAGGTGGGATTTATGGACCACAGATCGTGCCTGCTTGTACAGTTTGGGGCTCTGTAAGATGCTAAGTGCTCTGCAGAGCTTCACCGTGCTTTCTCCTTAGGACAAACTGCTTCCAGAACATTCTAAACCGAGGTCTTAGTGTATGTTCAGTTTTAACAGAGCAGTGGATATCCCTGGTTGTGGACAACACAAGCAGCTTGGTGTTTTCTTACAGCATCTCTGGATGGAGGTATCCAGCAGCATTAGGTCAAATCTCACAAGCAACCCTATGGCAGCAAAGAGAGAGAGAGGCATGCCTTGTTTCTGCATTCCACAAGGGAGGCTCCTTGCACACGTAGTGTCTAAGCTGGAAGCTTAACGCTTTCTAAGAGGTCTATGTTGTTTCAGTCCTTTCCTCCTTAGCCTGTAGAGTGGGCTTAGTAGGTACATCTCATGGAAGAGGAGATGGGGGCCGTGAAGTGGAAAGCCAGAGCCGCTAACTGTTGAAAAGAGTGAAGTGATGACTCAGGCGTGTGTCCTTGGGATCATAGTGAAAGTCATACACCTCTTCTGTCTCTGTCTGCTGAAGTTGTCTGGCTTGACCTGGTGTATGTAGTAAAGATGAAGATGCAGCTGTTTGCTTAACTAATGCTGTTTGGTTTGGCAGCACTAGAAATACAGATCCTCTGGTCTTTACAGCACATTGAGTGAATGCTGTGCTTTCAAAATATAGGTTTATGGCTTGTGTTGGTTTTTGTTTTTTATAAACTGTCTTGTTTATAATTATGAAATAATTAGTGGCTTTTTTCAGATAACAGAATATACTTGTCACAGAGTAAAATAAATTATATAATTGGATTTAACTGTAGGCCTTGTTACTTATGATTTAGCTAAAATAGAAAATACACAATACCATGTCAGATGTTTCAAAGGTTTATGAAAATTTTGTTCACTTGGGATTTTCCAAGAAGATTGACAGTTGGGAAATTGTAGCCAAGACGCTGCTTCATTAACTGCCAAGGCCACGCAAGGTTTGTTGTCAGCGTAAACCATCCTGTGCAGTGTGGTGGTCTTGATTTTAATTTGTTCTCCCTGTGTAAGGTGAGTTGCAAGCAAGATAGTTTGATTTATTTAAAAACTGAGCGCTGTAAACTTGAGAGATGGCTCAGTAGATAAAGCATTCACTGTGTGAGGGTAATGACTGCAGCTCCGAGCCCTGCATGCACACAAAGCCACGTGGGCCTGCCGAGACCTGGAATCCCAGCAGAGAGAAGGATCCTTAAGGCAAGCAGTGGGCTGCCAAAACTAGCCAGAACTGTTTTACTAAATTAAATGGAGAGTGACTGAGGAAGATATCCAATGCCAGCTTCCAGTCTTCACATGCATGTCTACACACATGGACATACTAATGCACACACGTGCATTCACACACATACAAACATTCAAAAGTAATCCATTTAAATTGGGTCTGTGCAATGTGGCCTTTTCTTTGCCTTTGATTTTCTTCACTTCAAATTGGAATTGAAAGAATTTTAATGTAAATATTTAGGGAGCTAAAGAAGAGTTGGAGTTAATCTGGATGTAAAATACCTCTTCTTGTTCATGGGTAACTGACAAAATCTCAAAGAGAGATGGAGAATGCCTATACATTTTTATTAATTACTCTTATAATTACTGGGTTAAGCCCAATCAAATTAATCATGTGAAGCCTTAATTATGAAAATGCAAGATGATTATTGAACCCATCCAGCAATCGAGGCTTCCCAACACCAGTTTCTCTTCCTTATTTCTGGAATGGCTCATGATGGCTGGTGTGTTTACTTATGTGGATTTTAATCCCCATTTCACAACCTTCCAGTTGTACCATGAAGCTGAAAATCTTAGGAATGGGAAGTAATGAAAGACAAAGGAATTGGGAAGGGAATAAACTAAATTGTGTCGCACATTTTAGGAGGAGGTAGGATAGGAATCATGAAAAGAAAGGATTGTGGGTTAGAAGTCTAACCCCAGGCTAGCAAAGCCCAATGGTTAAGTAACAAAACTGAAGAATGGGCATTGCAGTGACGGCGTGGTGGGTGGCCTTTCCTTGAGTACCCCCAGTTTCTGAGGTGGGAGGCTGGCAGGCGTGTTCATTTAGGGTTAGCCTAAAATGATCCATAGCGCTTCTCATTGGGCAGCACTGTTGTTTCAGTGGAAACTAATGACTCTCCCTTTACCAGGAATTAGAAAAGAGAGGCGATGGTGAAAAATCAGATGAAGAAAATGAAGAGAAAGAAGGGAGCCAAAAGAAAACTAAAGACGGCGATGACGATGGCGACGACGATGACGATGCAGAGCAAGAGGAGTACGATGAAGAGGAGCAAGAGGAGGTAAAAGTCTGAGGATGAGAGCTGCTCGCTAACTTCAGAGATCCTCTGTGGCGTGGAATGTCAGTCGGCAGACAACCACGCCCCTAGTACTGGCAAACTCACAACCACGCCCCTCGTTCTAGCAAACTCAGGAATGGGGCGGGAGGGCTTTGAGGAGCTGGGCTTACAAGGTGAGACCTTGTCACAAAACAAAACCCTAAGTTCATAGAACCAGAAATACATTCTTATCACGGGCATCAGGTGCTTCTTGGTATGAAATGATAATAATACCAAATGAAAGCCAGAAGATACAATTGACTTGATTGACAGCTTTTGCAAGTAAGGAATTGAGGAAATTGAGGAGAATAGTACAGTTCATACTTACCAACGTAAGAAGCCAAGACAGCAGTTGAGGTACTAAAGAGCACAGCAGTTGAGGTACTAAAGAGCACACGCACGTATGTCTAGAAGAAAACCCATACAGGGTCGTCGTGTCTCAAATTCCCAATTTGGCGTGGACAGAGCAGTGTGACAGACAGCTGCTGAGGGACTGATAAAATTGGTCTCTTCACTTCAATTTTAGAATCGGTGCTTTTTCTATTTTTTGCACCTTTTTGTGATGCCTGTTGTTCTCTCTACTGTTTTGAGTGTCTGCATTTAAAATATTTAATCTCTTGTTGACCGTGTTCTTTGCTTTACAGAAGCTTCTCGGTTTCTGGAGGTCCCATTTATTAATTGTCACTCTCAGTGTCTGTGACACTGGTGTTTTATTTGTGAAGTGGTTACCTGTGCCTATGCGTTCAAGTGGATTTCCCAGTTTCTCTTCAGTGTAGATGGACTTGAGGTTTGATCCATTTGGACTTGAGTTTTGTGCATGGGGATAGATAGGATCTAGTTGCATTCTTCTGCATGTTGACAGCCAGTTATACCAGCACCATTGGTTGAATATATTTTCTTTTTTCCATTTTATACTTTTAGTTTCTTTGCCAAAAATTAGGTGTTCATAGGTGTGTGAATTGATATCAGAGTCTTCTATTTGATTCCATAGGTCCACCTGTTTGTTTTTATGCCAATACCAAGCTGTTTTCATTACTATAACTCTATAATAGAGCTTGAAGTCAGGGATGGTGATACCTTCAGATGATCCTTTATTGTTTTGGCTTCCCTGGGGTTTTTAGTTTTTCCCATATAAACTTGAGTATTGTTCGTTCAAGATCTGTGAAGAATTGTGTTGGGATTTTGATGGGGATTGCATTGAATTTGTAGATTTCTTTTGGTAGGTTGCCATTTTTACTATGTTATCCTACTTATTCAAGAACATGGGAGATCTTTCCATTTTCTGATATTTTCTTTAATTTCTTTCTTTTAAAACTTGAAGTTCCTGTCATACAGGTCTTTTGCTTGTTTGGTTAGAGTTACTCCAAGATATGGCTGTTATAAAAGGTGATGTTTCTCTGATTTCCTTCTCAGCTCATTTGTCATCTGTATACAGGAAAACTATTGATTTTTTAAAGTTAATCTTGTATCCTACATTATTGAAGGTTTTTATCAGTTGTAGGTATTCTTTAGTAGAAATTTTGGAGTCAATTATGTATACTATCATCAGCAGCAAATAAGAATTTGGCTTCTTCTTTTCCAATTGGTATCCCTCTGATCTCGTTTTGTTGTCTCATTGCTATAGTTAGAACACCAAGTACTATGTTGAATAGATATGGAGAGAGTGAACATCCTTGTCTTGTTCCTGATTTCAGTGGGATCACTTTTATTTCTCTCCATTTAGTTTGCTGTTGGGTGTTGGGTTATTGTATATTGCCTTTCTTATATTTAGGTATGTTACTTGTATCCCTATTCTCTCTAAGACTTTTACCATGAAGGGGTGTTGAATTTTGTCAAAGGCTTTTTCATCATGTAGTGAGATGATCATGTGTGTTTTTTTTTTCTTGCAGCTTGTTTATATGGTGGATTACATTATGGATTTTTGTATGTTGAACCATCCCTACATCTCTGGGATGAAGCCTGCTTGGTCATGGTGGATGAGTTTTCTGATGTGTTCTTGAATTTGGTTTGTCAGTATTTTATTGAGTATTTTTACATGTATGTTCATGAGGGAGGTTGGTCTGTAATTCTCTTTCTTAGTTGTGTCTTTTTGTCATTTTGGTATCAGGGTAATTTTAGCCTCATAGAAAGAGTTTGGCAATGTTCCTTCTATTTCTGTTGTGTGGGATGATTTGAAGAGTATTGATATTAAATATACTTTGAACAAAGGACCACAGTGGAGTTCACTGGGGTCTTGAATGTCAGGCTGAGAAATCTACTATCTTTCCATGCTATGGTAAGCCACTAAAGGATTTTTAAATGTGGAATGTTACTTGTATAGCATTTTGGAGAATTCACTTGCTTACAATGGATCATATTTGAAAATTTCTCACCAATTATTAGTTCAAAGCCACTGGCTCAGTGAGTAAAGATACCTGACGAGCTTAACCTCCAGAGCTCACACAAGGGAAGGGGACAATGGACTTGGAAGTTGTTCTTTGACCTCTGCATGTACACCATGGCGTGCATGCATGCCCCCCCACGATAAATAAACAGATGCTATATAATAGTGCATGGTAATGGATGGAGCCATTTCTGGTAACACAACAGGGATATTAGAAGGTTTTATTAAGTTTGCATGGTAGATGCCAGTATTCTAGACAAGGCTGGCTTTTATACTGCTCTTTTATTTGGTGTGTTTGTGTGTGTGTGTGTGTGTGTGTGTGTGTGTGTGTGTGTGTGTGTTTGTGTGTGTGTTGAGAGAAGACGTGCTCTGTTGGCAGCTTGTCTGAAACTCACTGTACAGCACAGGGTGTCTTCAAATTTGCAGCAGTCCTGCATCTCAGCTTCCCAGGTATTGGAACTTATAAGTCTGAGCCACTATGCCCAGCTCTGAAATGCTGTTTTCATAAAAATCAGCCTCCACTGAGTCTAGACCATGAGTGTAAAATTAAAAATTCATGGGCTGAGGTGGTAGGGTCCTTTAATTCCAAGACACTCAATTCAAAGCCAGCCTGGTCTACATAGAGTTTCTAGGCCAGCTAGGGTGATGCAGTCATAGGGTAATATAGTGAACAAACCAACAAGTTTTGGTAGTTAGGAGCTGTGAATTGGGCCTCAGTAAAGCACTGCACCAGAGAGTGGGTTTAAATTAGTAAGTTTACATATCTCTATTTCATTGAAAAACAAAACTACAAAGAAATGAGATTGAGTGAGGGAAGAAAGCAAGCTCCCTTAGAGGTCTTGTCACATTCCATTTTCGGTGAGCAAAGTGTAATATGTCATCTGGTAACACATGTTAAAGACAATCCTTCTCTTTTGATGTTTTGCATATTTAGCATAAGAATAAAGCTGTAACTCGGTGGAGAGCCTAGAGCTACTCAGGCTGTTGGTCTCAACAGGCTCCCAAAACATGCCTGCATCAAGATTGTTAGCATCTGAGTCACTAAGCATACTTGGAATAAGTACCTGTGTAGACAAGTGCTTCTTGTTTGATCGGGAATGGCAGGGTTCCGGTTTCCCTTCCTTGCTTTGTGTATGAATTTGTTTGCTTATATTTCCTTACATGCATAGAGCCAAGGCCTTATTTACTATGTGGCTTCATTTGAATGCTTGGCCAGTCACCCCTCTCCTAGTACAAAGGCCCCAGGCTTCAGCTTGGTTTCTGGAAGTTTGTAGAGTTCTTGGCATCAGAGAAGCTAGACCAACTTTATGCCACTCCAAGGGGTTTGTGTTGGATGCATAAACTCGCAGGATTTAGGGAAGACAAAGTATTCTAAAATACACAAACTGGCACATGCAATCCAGATGTTTAAAAAGAAAACCTATAGGATAAAGCTGGTATTCAGAAAGCTTTCTTTTGAGAATGTCGTCTGTGTCTGCTGTAAGTAGTAGAGATGTAGAGATGAGGGGATAGGGTTAGGACTGAGACAGGCTCGTGCTGTATGTGTGGTCCAGGCTGGCCTCGAAGTCTGCAGTTCTTCCCCTCGGTCCCCCCAGGCCTCCCAGGTGTGAACCACCATGGCTCGTCACTGCATAGCTAATTTTCCAGTGAGTTTTTTCATACGTACGTCAGACCCCTGCTTGTCCACCCTTCTCCTTCCATGCCCCGGTGCCCTTGGCATCGTGCGGTTTCCATTCATCCCTAAGTATCTCAGTGTGGACACAGACCTAGGGCTCTCCCACATCGCAGTACCATTGGACTCAATATGATCCAGTATCCAGCCACTTTTAAATTTCCTTGATTTTAAAAAAAAACCTTTTTTACAATCCATATAGACTCCATACAGGGCAACTGGCTGAGAAGTCCTGATCTGTATTCAGATGGGTTTTTGAAGTTTTGATAGAAGGCACACATGTCTTTTGACACATTTCCAGGCATGGTTGGCTTACTCGGCTACAACTGAAACATCTCCAGAAGCTGAGATGCAATGCGGTTTCCACGGGTTTGGGTTGGAAGGAGATTGAACTTTGGATGACAGTCCCTGTGACGACGCTGTTGCACTTTGACCTGGTGCCTGGGTTCTGAGGCACTGTAGACTACTGATGAAAACATGTATTTCTCTGTGGTCAGTGCACTGGTGGAGTAAACGATCAGTGTCTCAGCTCCTAACACCCCGAGTCGCTCCGCCAAGGAGTGCTGCACAGCCCCTCCCGTGCTCTTGGCTGGTTAGCACCTGAGCACTGTAAGAAGTGGTTCTGGAAAGAAACTGGCACAGGTAGAAACACATGGAAACCGTTCTTTACAAGCAGTCACAAGCACAGGCTGCCTATTCCAGTGTTTTCTTTCCTACCTCAATTTGGTATTTAGAAGCTAGAGACATGTTACTTTTGGTGTTGTATTCTAAAATGTTGCTAATTCACTTTATTGACTTACTACTATGTCCTTTCTCTTAGGAAAACGACTACATTAACTCCTACTTCGAAGATGGGGATGATTTTGGTGCAGACAGCGATGACAACATGGATGAAGCGACCTACTAGCCATGGGATTTCGCTCGCTCTCTCTCTTTTTTTCTGGTATAGCTTCAAGCATTTGGATTTGACTTACTTTACTTCTAAGATTAAGTCCATATTTTCTTTCATTCAGTGTTTCATTTGACGAATTCTTACCCTGCTCTTCAGAACTACTCTATGTTTACACACGTGACCTTACCCCAGCACCTCTGCTACCGGCTGTGTAAGGAGTGGTGGTGTGGAGGTTTTTGGTCTTTGTTTTATCTGGATTTGAATGTGCCTGAAGACTCGCTCAGTCTGTGTGTTCGTACTTGAAAAAGATCACCCCTGCTACCTGCTGACCTTTGGTAAAGCTGTTACTAGTCCTAGTGGATTTCTACCGATACCGCACATGGAGCACTTTAAAAACAAACTGGAAGATGATTTCTCTTACCCGGTATGCTCTGTTTTATCACACTGACTGCATAGACTCAGCATGTTCTTATCAAGTGCAGATGAGTGTTGGTGGTAAGAAACATGCTCACAGCAAACAGTAGTGACCTAGGTGAGATAACCCTCACAGCTTACATCTCAGCCAAAACAAAGGCTGTCACGGGGAGGACGGTTATAAATGCTTGCCTTTGGGGGTAACTCCATGCCTTACAATGTATGAATTAATGATTTCACTATACTAAGTTTGATTATCTTCAATTTGTTGAGTTTATGGAAAGAAGTAATTGAGACATACTGTTTATTCTCTGCTTTGTGTAAGTGGAAATGAGTCGTGGTTGTCTAAACTTCATGACAGAATGATATCTGTGAATACAATGGGGGGGCAGTACCCTCAGTTTTATAGCACCAGATTCAGAAACAGCAAGTCAAGTCTAGAATCATGGAAATGAACTCAGGTCATTCTGAAATTACAATCGATTCTTCTTGTCTTAACTTACAGGGTGACTCCCCTGCAGTTTTATATTTTGCAGAGAAAATACCCAGAACCCTTAACCTCTAAGGATTTTTAACATGCCAAAGGTTTTCAAGGAAATGCATATTTTGCATTTCAAAACTAATATATTAAAATTATCTACCTAAAGGATAAAAACCTGCTTTCCCCTTTGGGGAGAATTGTCACTTATTACCTTCTGACCTGTTTTTTCTCTCAGGATCAAGATAACCTTGAAATTGAGCTTAAGTTTTTGTGCCTTAGTTTCTCCACTTGTAAACTGTTTCCTATAAAAATTGTTCAAACACTGACCAGAATTTATCAAATATGCAATCTTTTACTTTACAGAAACAATGGTGTCTTAAATTTGATTTTTACTCTGTAAACAAGTGTGCTATGGAAAATGAAATAGTTGTGAGAAACATTTATCTGTTAAGTTACATTTCGTTTTTCTGATCTTGTATCTGTGTTAGAAACTGTAGTTAATTTGTACGGTCTGGAGAGATCTCAACATTCCTTTCTCAGGAGAAGGATCACTTTCAATGGCAATACTTCTTCAAATGCTTCTAGATGGGTACAATGGCCCACGGCTTGTCTATATAGTGCTGTACTGACCACATGTGACTTATATCCAGTTCCCAAGAGCTTATAAAAATGTTTTAGGACTCTAAGTGGCAGCATGAAAAGTGTTTCAAGCTCCAGTGTATTGGGAAACTTCCATCAAGTTTTTAGTGTTGATGGCAAATGCTGTTATTTGGGAATAATAGGTACTTAATTCTCTTACATTTGGTACCAGAGCCAAATATGTAGTTTATAGATGCTCTATTTTCTGTTTCTTCCCTTTATTATAAGTCTTCACATAACTGCTCATATCTTGGAGATGCACTATTTTCCAGTTAGCCTTCACTATTGTGTTCCGGCCAAGGGAAGGACTTGCTCTGGGCCCCTGGCATCTCCTCTAAGGACATCCATCCCCCTTTGAAAGATCACTTTACAACTTTAAACATACTAATTTTGAGAACATGATTTTTTTTTTCAGGTTGCTTGACCAACATAAATCTGTTTCCTTGGCTTAAGCTCTGAGACTGTGAAATTACTTTATAGAGATAACTACTTAATGGTTAAAGTACTTACTGGGACTGTGGGTAAAATGTCTTTAACATTATCTTAACAAATAAAACAAATTGCAACAATGCTAATTTTTCTGTATTTGTTTACACGTATAAAAGTTAAAAAATAAAATTTTGGTCTTAATTCTAAGATGGTTTACAGTAAACATTTATTTGATAGAGAAAACAAGTTAATTCTGACTTTCCTCTGTGAAAGTAACTTCATTTATTGAGCAGGCACAGTTGTTGAACAAACTCCCACCATGTACAACAAAAGACAACTCTTGCCTGTAATTGGGCAGGGAGAGCATTCTCACTGGTTTCTTCCAGTGTTGCTGGAAGATACCAGGAGCCTCAGAGGATTGCTGTCCCTCTTTCCATCCACACCTTCAAGTGACAAGTGTCAGAGGAATTGTAAGCACAACTTAAAGGTCACGTTGCTTTACAATACAAACACATGAAAAAGATGTTTCCCCTGAAAACTTTCTTAATTCTTTCTCATATGTATGTATGTATGTATGTATGTATGTATGTATGTATGTATGTATACTTTGTATATGTGGTATGTACCTAAGTGTGTTTGTAGGCCAAAGGCTAGGTAGTCTTCCTTTATTACTCTTCATTTTGAGGGATCACCAATCCCACTAACTTGTCTGGCAAGCAAGCCCAAGGGACACTCTTGTCTTTGCCTCCCTTGCAGTAGGATTGCAGGTGTGCAGTTTTTACTGGAGTGCTGGGAATCTGAACTTGGATCCTCAGGCTGTGCAAGAAACACTTTACTGAGACTTCTCCTGAGTCCCTAATACTTATACTCTTGAAAGGCAGTTTTGTTTTATAAACAATTGCAATTTACATGTACAGCATCTCATGAGACTGCGTTGACTCTATAAGCTGGCCTGGACGTACCAAGTCTTATTTACCAGGAACACAATTCCCCATAGCCATTTATCTAACATGTGTTGATTTATATTCTATGGATAATCCAGTGGCTACTGGGTGTAACAAGTGGGAAATCTGAATCCATAAATGTGTAGCAATCTGAGTTTCCACGCAGCTGTGAACTACACTAACACAACAAACATTGCAGGACATGTTCATTAGTGAGATAGTGGCACAAGCATCATAGAAGTAACCAACCACTTTCTAGTTAGATGTAAGCCCTGTTCCACTAGATGAAACCCACACTTGGCACCATTCCTGGGCAAAAACAACTACTGTTAGACATACCATAGTCCTAACAGAGAACCTATTATGCTTGTGAATAGATTGAATATTAAACAGACTCCTACTGACTCTCAACTCAGCTCAGAAAGCTTCTATTTGCAGTAAATTGTGACTATTGCACACATCCTCCCAAGGCTAAGGGATCATTGAGGAAGAGAAGGTGGAAAGATTCCAACAGCTCGAGACAGTAGTAGATGAATACTTAGAAACATCTAGACAGCAGCGTAGCTATAACCATGAACTGTTGGGACAGCATAGACAAGACATGTGCAAGCTCAAGCCAGATCAAATGCCAGCATGACAAGGGAATTTGGGCACACAATCTCACTTCTAGCCACGGAGCAAATGGTAAATGATAGCAGCTTAGAAAGAGTCAGTTTTCTGTCAGAATGTCTCTCATAAGTCAGCCACCATGCTCCAGTGGAAGGCATGCATCCAAGAATATTTGGGGCAGCAAATTAGTCTGTGTGTGTGTGTGTGTGTGTGTTAAAGGACACAAGGTTGGATGTAAAGGGAAGAGGTCAATCTGGGAAATTGGGGGTGTGTGGAATCTGAACAAAACTTGAACTAATGTGAAAAAGATTTCAAGTAGCTTGAAAAAAGAAAATTAAATGTTTGCTTTATTCAATCACATTCCACAACTTCCATTTTGATTAATAAAATAGAAACTATTAATATTTTGCATATCCTTAATATATGAAAACAAGGCAAAAAGTTTAAAAACTAGTTTTACAGGTGTACATGCTAACAATAGTTTAATACATTTGCAATTATATAAAATACATTATACAAAAGATTTATAGCTTTTGCATACATAAAATGAATTAAATAAAGCATTCATATATTCTATGATCTAACAGTGCAATATGCACATACTTAGAAAAAATACTGATTTCCTGAGCAACAAAGTTGTAATTCAGAATCAGAAAGTCCCATGATAACGCAGTGTTTAAATAACTCAGCCCTAACCCTAACACTCTGAGACTGGATCTCCACATCTATTTCTAACTTCAGCCTTCACATTTCCAGTAAGACATTAAAGAAGAGCAATCAGTGACTAAAGAGCGGTTGATTTAATGAACTTTCCACGCCAACAAAAAGCTTTTAACAATCAAACTCCACTGGAAAAGAGAATCTGAGATTCACATTCCTTCCAAAATCATAGCACAGCCAGTGGACCATGACTTTGTTTTGCTGAGAGGACAGTGAAGATATTTAAACAGCTATCCATTGGTTCAAAACAAACTCAACCACATCTAACTCGTCTTTAACAAGCCAAGAATTTGTCCTAACAATATCGGGTTTTTCTTTACTTGCAATTCCAAATTTTTAAGTGAACTAGTATCAATGACTATGACTCAGTGCTCTTATATTTATAACTGCACACACACAAAAATTAAAGCCTCAAAGCAAATTCAAGTAAGGGCTTGAACATGATCCATAGTATCAAACCATGACAATTGTACTTATGATGTCTAGAATATAATGAAGTTTGCAGTTGCCAAAAATTTGCATACATTTGCAAATGCATATTAATATATTTTTCAAAATTCTGTTAAATGCTTAAATTTTTTCTTTTAAAGATGAAAGCATAATTCTACATATAGGATTATATTCAAGTAGTAACTCTAAAATATGTAGGAAAAATAATTGTTTGGTTGTTTCCTAAGGATGTGTTGTATTTCCTTCAAAAAGGTGCTCGAGACAAATGATTTAACCAGCAAGTACACCTCATCTTTAAACATAAGTTATCACGCCCTCATTACAATTCCAAAGTAAAACCAGCAAAAAAGGAATCACCAACTTTATAATTTTATGTTTGATGTAAACAAAGTTTTTCGAAGGTTATGTAGCCTGTGTTGTTGTCTTTCATTTTCTACCCTAAAATTTGATTTTTCAGCAGGCTTAATAAATATTATGCAAAGTAGCTGTGTTAACACTGAACATAATTAAAGATCACACTCATTTCAAATTGCGTGTGGCATGCTAACACAATTAAAAATTATTTTAACTAAGATATACTAAGGGGATCAGTTTACTACAACTTTCCTATTATAAAAATACTTTAAAGGTAATTTTCTAAACCCCTCTGATAGATGTAGGGGCTTTACAATGACTGACTTCTGTGTCTTTTTGTAGGTGCTTTTTCTTCTCAAAGTATATAAAACCCCAAATATAATAAATATGTATTAATAATTCCTTGTATCAGGATTGGAATTTGATATACAAAAAATGTTTAAAAAGCTGAAACATTGTTTTAAGAAATAATGTCCAGAAAATGAGGTGATATAACATATTTTAAGGTATGCAGTTTATCACACAGAAAACATGTGGTCCAGATTTGACCACCTGCACTTATATTTTAAAAATACATATTTAAAATTAAACACTGAAATCAGCATACAAAAGCTTTTTAGCCAAATTTGTTGTCTTACAGTGGACTTAGAGAATGCCACCATAAGCCCTTTTGACTGATCCACACAAGTGTGGTCTGTGCTTCTCAATGTGACGGTGCATATTAGGTGGGGGCAATCTGAATTGGACATTCTCTTTTTGAAATAAAGCAATCTCCCTGCTGATAATATAAAAGTTGTTTACTCATCTTTGCTTAATCAATCCTTATTTTTCTCAAGACCTCAGAGGCAGATAGTACAAATTGGTTTATTCCACTAACATATGCTTAAAAGTGAAGATACACAAATTCACATAGCCTATGGAATGATATTCTACGGCAGGAAATCTGACAGCTTTTCCACTTTAATTGTAAGGTGTGTATGAACTTAAGTAAAGTGACACTGTAAGGCATTAAGTGTAATTAAGGCATGTTACTATTTGTAATAGCAATGATTAGTCACAGTATATAAAGAGAAGTTTGCTGAATATGCTTTTCTGTATAACACTTCATCAAAGAACTACAACATGCTTCCAGATATCAGATACAAGTATTTTTCTTTTTAAGGATAAGTGGGAGTGAGGCTGGAGGGCGGTCCTAAAGTACCCTCCTTCGTGGACTAGGTCTTGACCTAGTTCAGTGTCCTTGTGGCCAAATGGCAAGTTTCCAACACTAAGACATTATTCTGGGGTCTCAAAATACTTAATCAATTTGTTAGCCGCTATTATAGAAATTATAAATACATTTCCATATCTGTTTCTACATTTGTTTTCATAGCATGTGTTAAAACTCAGTTAACTCAAAATTGAGTGTTAAGTACTTGGTATCATAAATAATTTTAGAGTCAAAACTTTTACAACAATGTTCTGGTGGTATGGTACTGAATTTTCTTCAGTTGTAAGCATTTTAAACACTTGACATGAATAACCTTGAATTAAAAAAATAATCTTTTAAAAAATAAATTTAAAGGTAACTAGTCTTGAATAAGAAAAATGAGAGCATTTTCTAAGTTAGAATTCCTAGACATACATTTAAATTAGTTTCTGCTTTAAGAACTGATAGAGCAGATGAATTCTGACCAGTTTCAATATAAAAAGCAAATGTGTGTGTTTTAGACAATCCATTTGTCAAAGGCTCAGGGATTCCTAGGAAGGTAAAAACAAAGCATCCTCGACGTTCCCAGATGGACTCTGAAGCAGCTTTGGGAGGTCTCTGAGCCACCATATCCCATATGCACACATGATCATCAACCCTGATCAGGGCTCACGGCTACACTCTGCGTTGAGCAGCAGGAGGCTGAGAATCTTGCCTATACAGTCTGTGGTCATCTTGTTGACCAGCATGTATTGCTTTTGTTGGACCGAGTCCATTTTCTGTTTCTCTGTGCTGTGAGGGAGGTGTGAGTCCTGGATGCAAATGTGAAGAGCCCGCTGTTGAATGGTGACTAACATCTACTTTAGCTAAAATTTCATAATACAGCAAATAAAATACCGGCGTTATTATACCCACTATCAACATTATCACTACAGCTGTCCACCAACCAATTCCCCAGTCTGCTCCGTAGTAGGGATCCTTTCTGGGAGCGCTTCTGCTGTCCGGCTCACAGCGGACCTGCTGTGCCGCTAGGGCAGACACCACCTCGTTCAGGTTCTCCTTCTTGGTGTCGGTGCACTTTACGATGTGTTCTATGTCCCGATCCACTTCTTTCAGGAAGCTGCCAGCTGACTCACTGGGACAAACAGAGTCCTCAGCAGCCACCATTTCCTGCTCTTGAGCACATGGAACCAGTGGAGGATGAAAACCTTGTCTTCCTTTCAGAGGATGAAGAGTTTCGGTCAAAGAACTAAACTTTTTAACTGGAATTTTGATAGACCTAAGGGCAAAAAAGTCTTGATCACTGATGAGATTGTTAACTCTTTTGATATCTGCTACCTGCAAAAAAGAAAAACACAACATTCAACTGAATTCTAAAACTAGACATAAAACCTTCATCTATTCACTTACTTTAGAGGGAAAAACGCTGAATTCCATTCTTACTATTAGTACTGGTACCACACCTAGATTTTAAACTTACTTGTATATGAGAGTTCTAAACACTAAATTTATCTAGTGTTAGGAGATCACCAATGACTTTGTATTGCCTCCTAGATAGTAGTAATACTAGTTAATACTCAGATAGTTTGTCATTTTTCTTTGTACATCATACAAATTTACCATAGGTAATGTATGCTGGCAAGCAATTTGTGGATAAACAATTACTGGTACTAATATTCCTGTATTTCAACCTGGCAACTGGAGTATAAGAACATTAATTTACCCAAGTTAAAAGGGCCATATTTTAGGAAAACTAAAATGCCATCAACACTACAAGCACCAAGATTCTAGTTATCTCTCAGCGGGGGGAAAACTGCACCAAATATAATATAGGCATCTGTTACCACTCTAGTTGGTGCTGTGAACCCACGAGAACGGAGCCTAAAAATGAGGCAGTCTAAAGTCTCATTCAATAGCCAAGTTTATTCAGAGCATCAGACAATTTATACTGTGAGGGTTAAGGAGAGTATACAATCACAAGGACAAGCCACATATGGCAGAAACCTGTTTTTCCATAAAGGCATGTGAACAGCAACAGCTGAAGTAAACTCACTCCCATTCACTGCACCTGGGAGGAGCACAAAAATGTTCCCAGAACAGTTCCATGTTTTGAAGACACTGAGATCACAAGACTCTTGTTTCCCTGGAGCACTCAGAATCCCCCATTAATGGACTGTGTTTCACCAGCATCCCTGTGCTACTTTCAGAGATGCTGACCTGTGAGAGGTTGATGTTTAATATGCAGTCCCTCTCCTGTCTTCTGAAACTATTTTTCCCTGAGTCCATCGCTGTCAATAAATTGGGTAATTACTCCAACATCAGGCTCATAGTTGCCTTATAAAAATTCTATAATTCCCACCGGCTCCATTCCATTCTGATGGGAAAAAGGAAAGACGGCTGTTTCTCAGATTACCAATGAGTAAGCCAGGTTCTCTCCCTGCCTGTGAGTTAGTTCTAGGAGTTACGCTTAAGTCAATGCTTCAAGCTCTTATCCTGTGCTACCCAACTAATGGTAGAAGAGTAGAATGAGTCTAGGGGAGCCTTGTCTGCTCAGCTCCATGGGGGATAATGCCACTCAATGATACAGAGCCCTGTGGAAAGCGGGAAAGGTGCACTCAGATTTCAGATACAGTGGCTTTTAGGTGCCTGAGATGCGAATGATCTTCAGCAGAGGTAAAGACAGATGTCTAAAACTCAAAGAAGAGGATGTGAGGCTGGAACGGAAAACATTATGAGGAAAACTGAGAGGAGAGCACCCTGGAATACTAACATTTGAGGGATATGGAAGAGAACTGAGCCAAGAGTGGTCAGGAAGGCAGTATTGCATGGTGGTCAGGAGCACACATCTGTCAAGTTCAAGTGCCACATTCTAGCTGTGTGTTTTAGGGTTAGTAACCTCTCTGCTACTCCATTTCCATACCTGTAAAGTGTCAGTGGTGACACTCCCTACCTTGGAAGGCTGGTGTGAATACTAATGGGTTCAAATGTATTAAGAATACTTGGAGTAGCCATATACACAATATCATGATACTGGCTTTTACTGAATATGAAGAGCACAAGACTGAAGCCTGCAGTGCCAGGTCAAGCAGACTGTTTAACAGGGAGCAGTAAACAGAATCAGACTAGTGATCTGTACTCAGAAAATGGAAAAACATCTGACGAGACAACTCTCTGTGCTTTGGATGACTACCGGAGAGAGCTATAGACTAACAAGGAGCAGAGAGAGGAGAGTACTTATTCCCAAAGTATGACCCCATGCTATTTTAATTTCTCTTGCTTTCCTAATTCTGAATTTGGCATCTAAGACTTATCATATATCTAGGCTATGTCTCTAAATATACTGCATATTTTTGGGGGCTATGCTAACTAACCTGAACACATTTAGAATTACAGGCCCGGATATTTCATTCCCCTCATCACTATTTTGTAACAAGCATATTTTCAATATAGCAATGACTACTGACTGTAGAGGCAGTGGTAAGTCCATTCGTGAGCTAATGTTTCTTTGCAGGTTGAGTGTTCACAAGGGAGCACTCACAACAGAGTACTATGAGCAAGCAGCTCTCCCTCCATGGCCAATGCCTCCTGTGCTCTGTAAGCTCAAGCTGTCAGCATTCCTGCTTCAGTCCTTAGTGATTCTAAAGTGAAAACCACCTGCCCATCTCTCTACCTCATCAAAAATACACTCCAACAAAAAACTTCATTAATCTTTAAATCTAAAGCTACAATTTATTTTGACATGCTATGAGTAGCTGGATTAATTACTTTAACCTGAGAGCCTCATGGTCAAAGAAGTTGTTTTTTAAATCTTATTTAAACTTACATACATACATCAAATGTATAAAAATGTACATTCTTACAGTAGAGTAGTATGACAAGTCACCAGTAAAGAGATTTCAAGTATACAAATATTTTATATAATGAAAAATTCCATAGATGGAAATATTACAAAGAGAGAAGAAAGTGATACAGAATTTCACTTTATTAAAAAGAGCTCTCATGTTAAGCTGAAAACAAAAGCAGGGCTGTAGGGCGCTGTGGGGTTAGATGCATGTGCTGCTCTTGCAAAGGACCTGGGTTTGGTTCCCAGCACCCATATCAGGCAGCTCACAACCTGCACCTGGACTCTGGGTCCAGGAGAACCACTGCCCTCTTCTAGCTGCCAATGAAGTAAGTCTATAAAGTTATAATGGATAGCTGAGATACAAAAAACACAAGCTGCAGAAAAATACACAGTATATGCCAACTTTAAAAACAAAATACAGCAAGCCTTTATTAGCCCCTAAGTACCTATTTATATAGATATTTACAAGCACAAAGAGAAGGTACAGAAACATACCAAAGTGACAGACTGAATTAGCAGAATTCAAGCAGTCACTTAAGATGGTAAGAAGGTCATGTTCACAGGTATGAGAGAGCTCTGTGCAAAGAAGAAAAATGAGCAAACAGGAAAGGAAGGAAGGTAAGAGGACACTCCAATTCTGGCTGGGTTAATGAACAAATAATTGACTCTGGACTCTGTCATGCAAAAATAAATTAAATGAAGACTTACCGTACAACAGTACTGAAGGGCTACTGCATTTAGAGTGTCCCCTTCCTGTATATCTTTTGTTAATATAATGATGTCATCAAGCCTGTCTCTTGATGTGCTTCTTCGAACCTTTTCCTTTCCCCTGGACCGAAGTTCATACACTTCAGTTTCTTCTTCCAACACATCATTGTCTGTACAATTTCCAAAAGTATGTACCTGGCCACTGGCCTGAATTCCTGGGAGGGAAACAGTTCGATTCTGATTCCTCCCTGCCATGATGCTATGATCTGAAGGAAGAAAAGACAAAACCTTGGAATACCACCGATCCATCCATTGATTTACATATCTTACACTCCAGATCCTTCTTTTTCAGATAATCATTTCAGTTACGTAGGGCGGAGGTTCACATTCTGTAACTGCGCAAGTGCAGCCCTGACAGCAGGACAACAGCCTGGGAAGAGGTCAGCAAAGGCTCACATGCTCCACTCAGGACTCTATTCACCCTTAACTTTCACACGGCCCAGGGCTACAGGTGTATGCAACAGGTGTACAATGCAAACATCTACACACAATAGTGAAGAACAACTTCATTTAAACCATTATCTGGTACACGTATAATTTTAGCATTTATTAAAAGACAAAGGTGAATCTGAACACTGAGGTGTCCTTGTCCTTGCTCCTTTCTGTATCATGAATTCAATCTGTCTCGTGTCACTGGCATGGCTCCGTGGGATGTTGCTTGCTGCAGGCCTGACAACCAAAGTTCATCTCTGTGACCCACGTGGTACAAGGAAAGAACCAATGTCCACAAATTGTCCCCTGACGTCCAAATCCACGATGTAAAGAAAATTATATGAAACAATGAATCTTGCCTGAACTTGTGGTACTGTACAACACAGAATTGTCAGCATTTTCCAGAGTTGATCAACGAAATGTTTTAGAGCAGCCAATGCTGAGAATGCCATTTCAGTTACATGACAGTGCAAAATGTCAGATGTTTATGTTCAAAATCTCAAGGCAGCAGTTCTGACAGACTTTTCATTAATTGGTTAATGTATTTATTGTGTGTGTACTGCCATGAGTAGGTGTCTGGGTCTTGGTTCTCTGCTTCCACCATGTGGGTTCTGGGGATTGATCTCATTTCCCCAGGGTTGGCAGCAAGTACTCTTACACACTAAGTCATTCTGCCAGTCCTCTAAAAGCAATTTTTTCAAACAAGCATTGTAATAAAATACTATCCAAAATTATATTCATTTGATGTTACATGCTGAGACATGGCAATAGGAAAATGTTAAGCATCTTTGTTTTGTAACAGAAGCACTGTGCGTCTATCGAGTGGGACGCTCTTCCCTGGGAGCTGTTAGTTAGCATCATGTGACATCATGACGTACAAAGTGTCTGTGTGCAGAAGCAGGGCTGCAGGGACATGGTGAGCAGGCAGATGCCTCAGATACCCAAGTCCATGATCCTCAACTGATTTTTGGTTATTCTGCTCTCAGAACCCTTTTACTATTGTCAGATACTTCATAACTCCACATTCAGGTATGTGACCCTAGGTGTGGTTGAGACCCTGTGTTTTAGAAGCTGAGACTGTCTGGGTGTGGTGACACACACCTTTCATCCCAGCAATGGCAAAGCTGAAAAACACACATATCTCCATGATTCAAGGCCAGTCTGGTCTACATAGCGCGATGCTGTCTCAAAAAAAAAAAAAAAAAAGTAAAAGATGCTGTGGTTCAATGAACCATATATACCAGGAAGAAAATTAGAAAGTTGTCTAATTTCTTAAGATGTTTTGACTGTTTACAACATACAGTTCTGAAGGGATCAAAATGTATTCTACACACACACACACACACACACACACAATACTTCTATGAATTCAATCAAATCTTTCTTGTTCTTTATTATGTTTACAGTGTTCTGTCTGCATGTACACCTGAACTCCAAAAGAGGGCACAAGAGCTGGGCGTTGGTGGTGTACGCCTTTAATCCCAGCACTCGGGAGGCAGAGGCAGGCAGATCTCTGTGAGTTCAAGGCCAGCATGGTCTACAGAGCAAGTTCCAGGACAGGCTCCAAAGCAATACAGAGAAACCCTGTCTCGAAAAACCAAAAAAAAAAAAAAGAGGGCACAAGATCTCATTATAGATGGCTATGAGCCATCATGTGGTTCCTGGGAATTGAACTCAGGACCTCTGGAAGAGCAGTCAGTGCTCTTAACCTCTAAGCTGCATTTGACTTCACATGGGATTAAATGCCTCTTCACTTCTAACTCACTAGATCGTGTAAAATTCAGAATTTATACTTATTACTGTACAGGATATACTCTGAGTCATGTTAAATTCAGAATTTCTATGTATTACAGTACCGCATATACTCTCAGTCATAGGTCACAAGTAGCTCTATAGTTGGTTATAGGTCACAGGTTTGCTACTGACCAGGGATGTTTCTTTGAACACTTTTGACTTAATTCAAAGTTCTCATCAAATTCCTTTATATCCCATTAAGACTGAATGGATTCTATGCATTTATATTTATTTATACTTGTAAAAAAAGCACATCCACTGAGAACTGGGCTAAGAATAGTCATCAATGAATACACCTTCTTTACTTCAAAGTCACTATCAGCGTGCCTCATCAATTCTGTCCAATTCTCATTAAGCACAAGAGCCTGAAGAACAGATCTCACATCCAGTTTTGGCTTCTCTTTAATTATCCATGCAAATCAGGACAGATGTAGTAAGACAGGCTTTGCAGATAAAAACAAAACAAAGCTTCCCAACTTCAGTGTGTCTCAGACATGGAACAGGAAGTTAAAGCATCCATTCCCAAATGCAGTGCCCTTCCCTTAAGATACGGAAGATGAAGAGCCAGGCACAGGGATGGGTGTGATCATTTTGCCAGTTAGCTTTCTTTGTCTGTTTGACAGACACTAGAATCATCTGAGAAAAGGAAACTTGAGTTGAGAAAATGCCTCATTTGACTGGCATATAGGTAAATCTGTAAGGAATTTTCTTTTTTGGGGGGGGTTCAAGACAGGGTTTTCTCTGTGGCTTTGAAACTACCTCTTGTAGACCAGGCTGGTCTTGAACTCCTAGAGATCTGCCTGCCTCTGCCTCCCCAGTGCTGGTATTAAAGGTGTGTGCCACCACAGCCCAGCCTACTCCACTGTGCGTGATGTGCGCCCCCCCCCCTTGGCTTCCTTCAATGATGGACTGTGACGGGGATGTGTAAACCAAAGAAACCTTTTCCTCCCCAAATTGCTTTTGGTCATGGTCTTTATCATAGTAATAGAAATCAAAGGACATCGATTAAAATGAATTCCTCTAAGACAGCAACTTCTACACAAGCGTGTCATCTGCACAAGTGTGTTATCTCAGTGAAGATAAAATCTTTTAGCAAACATGGAAAAGGAGTTCCCAGGGGAGGAAGACACCATTAAAACGTTATGTCATGGAATCCTAGCATGCAAAATGAAGTCTAGAAGGGTGCATTCCTGTTTTGGACTCTATGGATGAGAAACAAGTGAAAAAACAAAAACTAGGCAAGGGGGTGGAGGGTGATGGCAAGGAACACAACTAACTCCAAACTCACACGACAAAAGATGATAGTCTCTCTATGAAAAACATACCTAGGTTTCAAAACGACTTCATTTCATTAAATCCAGCCCTTAAAATCCAGTTTCCAACCTTGCGTTACAAATCCAAAGGTCTCTATTTAGAGAACACTAACCAATAGCCATACATTAGAAGCTTGATTCAGCTGTTGCCACAGGTGTTGTGTTACTGTCCCAACTAAAGAAGGCCCACAGTTCACATATCAATAGCAGTTTAAAGTCACTATCACATCTGTTTCTGCAAGGGCATTTATCCGAGTCTTTTCTTAAGAAAACGCACACACCTATACTCTAGGGAATATCTGTCAGTCTCGTGGAATCAATCGGCATACATACAAGTATCTCTTTCGTATTCTCAAAAGCCATCCATGATCAGAGCTTGGTTTTGTCCTCCTGTAAAGCTTGCTCCCTGACATTCTTAGTACAGCTACCTAACATTTACTGGGAAACGTCTAAAAGCCACTGGGGACAAAATTTACTTATATCCATCTTTTTCCGTCACGATAGGTTTCCTAACTGGGAATCGAAAGGCCCACACCCTGACGTTATCTGACTCTTCCTCTAAAACGACAGGGGAGCTGAAGACACAACCTGGACACACTCGTGTCTGAAGAACCAAGAATCGGCTGTGCTCGTCGGTAATCCAAGGGCCAAGCTACACACTTTGGCCCAGGCAGATGATGATCTCATCAAACTACTAAAGATTAGAAAAGTATCCGAGTCACCGGGCTCAATTCTCTTCACGTCTCTAAACTGTCTACGGAAGCTGGATTCGTAAAACTAGAGCAGGATGCATGCTGCCCGAAAGTGATCACCGAGGGAGAGCCGGCGTGTTTGCATCCGCTCAGCGACCTCCCAAACCCCCGAGGTGCTAACCTCACAGCAACTGCTGCTGGGGGTTCGGTCGTGACCTCAGGCCGGGGCGCGACAGACGACTCTTGGGGCACCAGCCAGTTCAGCACTCGGGACAGAATCACCCCGGTCCGATTATAAACCGGAGCAACAACTACAGAACTTGCTGCCCGCTCATCCCGCTCGTCTATTTTTTTTCCCTTCTCCTCCGGCCGCCCCCTTTGAGGACTGCATCTCTGATTTGGAAGTCGCAGCATCAGGCCGGGACGCTGGGCAGCGGATGCTACGGGAACTGACTGTCGTGGAGAGGGCTGCCCGGAACCCAGAGGTCCGCGTCCCTCCCGAACCCGGGGGAGCAGCCCCGCGGTGACCCCCGCCGACGGCCCGCCCGCCCGGCCCCCAGCCTCCGTCACCTGTCCTCTAGCAGGGGCGCGGCGACACGGTCACGTCCGCCACCACAGCCGCGGCCCCGGGAAGCTCATGACCGGCTCCAGGTTCTCTCTCGGCTGTCCCGGGTGCGCCGCGGCCGCCGTCCCCGTCTTCCGGACCGACAGCCGCCGCCACGTCCGCAAACCTGCGCTACGTCATCGCGTAGAGTAGGCGGAGGGGCGGGGGCGCGGGCGGGGGCGGGCCGCCCAGAAACGCCCGGCGGCCAACCGCAGGCCCACGCTAGCACGCAGGCGCGCCGACGCCACCGGGGGTGGGGGGTGGGGAGGAGGTCCGGCTCCAGCCACGCCTCCAGCCACGCCTCCAGCCACGCCTCCAGCCACGCCCCCTCGGGTGGCGCCCAGCCCGGCCGGGAGCCTGCTGGGTGCGGGTCAGGGAGCCCACGCCCCCCAGTAAAGAAAGGCCGGCTGAGAGTAGGGTGAGCGGCTGCGGAGAGACGCCGTGCGCTTCTCCCCGCTGGGTTTCTGAAACTGTCCTCCCCGTGCGGCAGAGGAAAGCACAGTGCTGACGTTCCTGTTTAGGAAATCGAGCCCACAGGGTAGCGAGACAGGCAGAGCGCTGGGTCGGGAGCGGTCTCGGGTCGCTGGGTGAGCAGAGTGAGCCATCTAGAGCCAAACCCAGGAAGCGTTTGCCCTGGAGCTACACCCCGAATGGGGACAAAGCTGTCAACAACTTGGAACTAACCTACTCGGATTTGAAACCTAACAAACTGGACGGACGTCACCGGTAGCCGGGGTTGCACTATCTGATGACAGGGAAATAAGAACCCCATATGTCTCCCGGCTTAATTTTTATCGCGACCTTGCTGAAGGGGTAGATAAAGTGTTGTATTTATGCAAACGACCGTACGGCTTTGTAATGGTGTGTCTGGTATTTTGTGTGGGCTACAGGCGCTGCTGCGCTGTGACTGCTTACCGTTTAAGTCCACATTGCTTGAACGCTCGATGTACCTCACTTCCCTTTACAGTCTGAATATTTATTCCTCATGAGGCCTTTGGGACGCCGTCCCATACCCTTTCCAAAGGGTTTTTTTGTTTGTTTGTTTGGTTGGTTGGTTGGTTATTCGGTTTTCCTGGAAAGTGTCTCTGCAAGGGTTGGGTATTCTACTTACATTGCAATAAGAGCCTTTTATCTGAAGGGATAGGCACAATGCACTGTGCCGAACATTGATACAAAGACCCCTAGGCAAAGAAAAACGAAAAGAAAAAAGTTTGCGGGAGCTGTTCTGTGCGCTGTTGCCCCTGTGACACCGCTGTCTGTGTCCATTTATCATGGAGACATTTTCTCATCAGGAGACAAAGGACATATTCGTCCTTGGTGTGTAGGGCTTCGGCTGTTCAGCCCTCATGAATGTTAATGGAATGAAACCTTCTTTCTTCACGTAGGTTACTTTTCTTATTTTAATGTCAATAGACCATGGAATCCTTGGGAGAGTCTGAGCGATGGAATGAATTCCAAGCATTGCTACCTGTTCGCTTTGAAGGGACATTCTGCATGATATCTGCAAAGCTTTTAAACAATTATTTGCATCTAACAAAAACTGAGTAATTTATTTGTTTACAAAAAGATCACGGTATATGTATATTTTATTATTAGACCATACAAAAGAACCAGTTAGCCATGAGTTTTGGCGGAGTTCCAAAAAGCTGGCCAGGAGAAGCAAGTATTCGTCTTTGGAAAAAGGGTGTTCCCCACAATCCAAAAGGTCAAAGGGATTCTTCTTCATTTTTTTTCAGAGCTCATTTGACATGTTTTCCATTAAAAGGCTGTAGCTGAAAGTACATGTGTTTCTAGGAATTTGCATCTGTGTCACTGTCACTAACGTTAGGTTGAGCCCGAGTAAATGTTGTGTGGCATAGAGTGTGATTTGATACAACCTGTGAGGAGGGCCATTTGTTACTATGCATTTGCAATTAAGAATGGACTTGACTGGGCTGCAACTTTACTAAGTACTTACCTTAAATTCATTTGCAGATACAGCTGAGTAAGATTTAACAGTAAGTTCAGGAATGTTTACTACAGTCATGGCCAAAAGAAATAAAAAGTTTTCAACACTGTTAACTGGATACTTTGGGTTCATTAAAACACTGTAGTATTTGATCAAAAGATTTAAGTTTATTTACAGATTTATTTATGAATTTGTCTATAAACACAAGGTTAAGTTGTGTATGCTAGAAATGTACTCAGGCCATTACTGATCCAATTCCTCTTTTAAAAGAACAAAATACTGGGCATGAGGACATGCCTTTGGAACCCAACCCCCAAGTAAAAATCCAGGCATGGTTTCATGTGTGCCTGGAACCCCAGTGGTGGAGGGGAGGGGAGAGGCAGGAGGACCACTGGGCTTGCTAGCCGCCAGTCTAGCTCCAAGTGCAGGAAAACCCTGTCTGAAAGGAATGGGCAAAATGACAGAATAGGACACCTATCATGGTTTCTATTGCTTTGAATAAATGCCTAACCAAAGAGCAAGTTGGGAAGAGGGTTTATTTGGCTTATACTTCCATATCTCTGTTCATCATAGAAGGAAGTCAGGACAGGAACTCACCTGGCAGGAACCTGGAGGCAGCCACTGATGTGAAGGCCGTGGAGAAATGCTACTTAAAGTGGCTTGTTCTCTATAGCTTGCCCAGCCAGCTTTCTTATAGAACCGTGGACCTCCAGCCCAGGGATGGAACCATCCACAATGGGCTGGGCCCTCCCCCATCAATCACTAACTAAGAAAGTGCCTCACAGGCTTGCCTACAGCCCAATCTTATGGGAACATTTTCTTAACAAGGCTTCCTCCCCCAAATGACTTCATCTTGAGCACATGTGACTATAAGCATGTAGAAAGAGCTCCAAAATACATTTTAACGTTAAAAAAGTAGATGGTCATGAAGGATATACAGTGTATTTTCTTTTGGGATACAATTTATTATCAGTAAAGTATTAGGAGCAGACACATTTTATTTTCTAATGCCTGGACATGTTCCCCCAGAGCATGTCTGAACCATTCTCAAGCTGTTTAGAACTTGGTTTTCAAGTGAACCAAACCAGTTCCTTTAGAAATCAAAGCCATTGCCAAGGCTTTCACCATTTTTTAGGTGGTTGGTTTTTTTTTTGTTTTTTTTTGTTTTGTTTTTTGTTTTTTTGTTTCACTTCTTCCTGATCCCCTGGGGCAGGTTGCCACTCTCTGCTACCATCTATACCTTTTCAGAAGCAAAACTGGAAAACACTGTTGTTCATTAAAGAACTGATTAAATGAATCTCAAAATGGATCACAGAGTGAATTTTTAAAAGCCATCATGTCTAATCTTCAAACATTTTATTATAGAAAACATCACAATAGTATTCTCTTCTTCAGACATGCTGAAGGCAGAAACTGCCTTAGATCTGTGGTGGTGAAGTAATGGAGACTCCTCACTCCCCGTTCACCCTATGGTTTAAAGCAGGGTGCTTAATATAGTCATTGTTGCTACATGTGCGTGAAAGAAGAGTCAAATATATCATGGGAATATAGAGATGTTTGTAAGTTGCTTAAGGGAGATTAAATATGACTCAAAATAACCAATGTCTCCAGCTAGCCATGTTTATTTAGATAAAAGCTGGTCTCCCAAATACTATTCTTAAATTTTTTTTTAGTTAGGTAGACACTACAGGTAGACAGGAATAGTTATATGCCTATAGTTAAGCAGACTGCCTAGTAAAATCTTTGTTTCTAATGGTCTTTACAGGAACTGTGGTCACACAGGCAAATCCTCCTATATGAATGCTCCTTGATCCTGTAGCCTACTTGTGTGTGTGCCTGCCCTTCCCAAAATTTAGCTCAAATGGTCAGAGAGGATTCAGTTCAATAGCCAGGTGTGGGGCAACACATCTTTAATACCAGCATTCAGGAGGCAGAGGCAAGTGGATCTCTGAGTTCCAGGACAGCCAGGACTACATAGAGAATCCCCGTTCAGAAAAACAAGAAACAACAGAAAAGAAGAAAAGGAAGAAGAATCCAGTTAAGTCTACTTCACTGAAAGAAAATATGAGCTACAGCCCTAGCCACTGTGGATCTGGTTGAGGACAGAAGGCAGCTTGTAGTCACTCAGAAGCGCAGTGCTAGTCAAAAAAGAATACAGAGATGGACATCTATCTAGAGTCCTGTGCCTTTAATTCCAGCACTTGGGAGGCAGAGGCAGGCAAAGCTCTGTGTTCGAGGCCAGTCTGATCTACAAATCGAGTTCCAAGGCAGCCAGGGCTATACAGAGAAACCCTGTCTCAAGAAACCAAAGTAGTAATAATGATTATGATGGTAATAAACCAGGAAACAACAGCTTATTCTAGTCTAGATTAATATGATTTCTGCTGACAGTCCTTATTAACAATAGCTGAAAATCCAAGGCAAAAATCCCAGAGCCAAGTTTAAGGCGTCCATGGAGCTGACTGGCAGTACAGGCCTAAACCCCCAGCCGCAACTGGAGTTGAAGCAGGAGGATTAAAATTCAAGGCTGTCCTGTGATGGGGATGGGTGGGGATTGGGGTGGATCAAGGACAAGCAGTGACACAGAGGAACACCAAATAGCAAATTGATTTGGATTAAAAACATCTGCCTTAGAACTCTCTCAAAGCTCCCTGTTTCACGGTGCTTCATATAGCTTTCAGAAGTTCTTTCTTGCAAACATTGAGAGTGACTCTGAACTTTAGTTTTCTCTTTGCTGATAATTCTAAATAAGACAGATTACCCCGAAGCAAGTGTTGGTTTGAAGTCAACTTTTCCTTCTCCCTTCACACCATGTTTTCTATTATTTACGTTTAAGCTTGAGCTAAAATTCTCCTGGCTTCCCAAACTTTAATCCTATCTGGTTTCTAAATCCCCTCAGAATTATTTGAAGCAATGCCTGCCTACTGACTTCAAAGAGCGCTTCATACTTTGATTTACTCAGTCGGGTGTAACAGGAGTAGTGAAACTCTCTCCTTCCCACTCACAATGGTGTGTTTGGCAGCACTGTAGCTAAGAAACACAGAAACTTTTGAGTTGTTGTTTTGAAAAGGACTTACTGTCTTTGAGAGTGTTTTTTATTTGTAAATCTGTTATTTAAGGAGAGAATAGATTTTTGTTAATTGAGATATGAGTCACATTCTTCTTATTATTCTGTGCTTAAGACCATATGACAGATTTGGTTT